TATATATGGCCAGCAAAAGCATTCTATATTTGCACCGTACTGCTATGTACATATTTGGTGATGTTAAAATACACAAAAGGGAGTCTATCAGGTGTTGTAAGTGGTGCTGTCTTTAAACTGTCAAAACATAGATATTTCACTTCGAGGATCATGTATTTGGCTTTCGGGGGGGGGGTGCGTGTACCTTAAAGATGCATATCCCGTGCTCTTAAAAAAGTGATGTTTCTCTCCTAACGAGTTTTCAATTTGTTTGTTTTGTTTAAAAAAAAACTACTTTATTCCAAATTTGGGCATCTGAAACCCTCTTAAAAAGGGCTTTCATTTTGCGCACAAATAACCCGCCCTGCGAGAGCCCAATTATTGTCTGGCAGCCAATAAGTCGATTTTTGTGAACAAAATAATACAAGAAATAAACGTCAGTGGATTTTTTCATTCGATGTCTCATTCAAAAGTGAAAAACGTTTATAGTTGTAAGAAAATAGCAATTAAGAAAAATCGAGGTGAAAAGTTCTCGAAAATATCACAGGGAATGCATCTTTAAGGCAGTTGTTGTTGGGGAGGAGTTGTACTGGTTTTTACTGTCATGTGAAATGTGGTGGTCGCAAGTTGGCCCCGCCCACACTGCATACGTCATTGTTACATACCCCAACTTTAGAACTTGGACTGTTTCTGATAACCCGAATATGACACTCACCACTCAACACAACAGCAACCAGCAACGGATGATAGAGAAAAGCTGGGGTAATTCTTCTGAAGCAGTATTCTCGAAGCAAACGAACTAAATGAAGGAAAGTGAGATGTGTTTGTTTCTTGCGGCACGCTCGTCTTTCACGCATCTGAGATGTTTCCTTATTAAAAATTTGGAGTCTTAATTGAAAATTCCAGTGTTGGTTAACGGATACTCCTGACTTCCCTTACACAGACTTATTTACCATCGTCAAGCTGGCTCTTACTTGATATCAAACTCCCCAAGCTTGATTAAACACTACAATAATTGATGTGCAATCGATACGTATTTGCACTGAGGTGTTTTTCTTTCCCTTGAAGTGTGAGTGGTAACGTAGCAGGGTTCAAATCGTAGCGAAAATATGCGCGCACGGTCGGCGGGTGACACCAGCGTGCCCCAGAAGGGAGGTGAGTGTTTGTACCCGGGTCAGCCCGGTCATTAATGTTACACTCACCCGGAGGGGGAAGACGGTAAAAACGAAAGTCATGTTCCTACCGTGCACCGTGCGTACACAAGATGAAAATATGAAGCTATGTAAACGGTGTAGCGACAAATGATTTGGGGTTACCAGATCGCCCGTGCACTCCACGAGGGACACGGCAGGCATAGAGGCAACAATAGCGGGGATTTCTTCGTCACAAGGACATTGTGATATTGAATGAATGGAGCGAATCATTTGAGCAACGGTGAGGAAAAGCTGATTATGAACTTAATATTATAAGCACAGGACCAATGCATCGTTATATTGCCATATTGTTGCGTGACAGTTTTGACACCGTTCACGACGCACTACATCAAATCTCCAATTATGTGTAGAAACTTTGCAAGTTTTTGCAACAAAAGAGTGACCGCAGACCAGCCAAATTCGGAAGAAGCACGGTTCGCTTTGGACATGTTGGAGGAAACCAACACGCCGTTTCGACCTGGATATGCGATATGTACATGAACACTATACTGGCATCGAAGGTCGACATCTTCAATTCGGCACAATTGAAATTTGGGTCACAAATAAAAAAACAATTTTGTTACAGCTTGTCAACCAACACGTCCTTCACAGCCGGTGAGTTCTGAAAAGCCAAGCCAGACAGCGTGAAAACACATTATAACTGTTAAATAACTCGGCGCTGATAATCTTCGGTAAGGTTATTAAAAATTAATAAGACTCAATGCTGTGATTTCCTCTATCTTCGCACTCGCAGCTGCACACAGACTGACGACGAATCTCATTACATGGACTCTATTGAGCATGTCTGTACAGCTATTTAGTCTAAGAGGAGACACGTACAACCGCCGATAATCTAGTGCTACAGCAGACTGTAAGGTGAAGAACAAAGTTCATTTCGATTCAGTGTGTTTGTTCAGGACCTCGGGACATAATGAACTACTTTTGTAATTATTATCATAACCGAAGATATCGGTCAATTGGTTGTTACTATGTCATGGTATGGTACTGATTAACTGTTCATTCAGTGTACGTTCTGAATGTTGGTTTTCTGCAAAACAGTTTGCCAATGGGTGTGAATTTCAGAACGGACTCAGTATGACATTTGGCATGTATTGCAAAACCACGCCTGTGTTTATGTCTACTAAGACGAACGATAAGACAGCGGAAGGGAGGGTAGAAGATGCATACCTAAGTGGAGAGGTTGCCATGAAGAAGATGAACTCTGCCCCGTTGCCTAGGATACGAGTAGAGGAGTGTGGCCTCACTGTGGACATGAGGAAGAGGCGAGACGGACGCAGCAAACAGAGCAAGGGGAAAGATCGACTTGATTCTAAGATTTCGAAGTTCAGAGGCGGTGCTTCAAGCGAAAGCAACCCAGACGAAATTCCAGCGGGTAGTCTCCGAGAGCGGTGGTTGGCAGATGCCAGGGATTCCTCGACTGGTCAAGCTGCGGTGGTGGAGAGAAGCTTCTCCACGGAGTTTGTAGACTCACTCCGGATCGGTAAGGCGGACAGCCAGGCTCTGACGCGGGGCCAGGCCCTGCCCGGACCCATGGAGCCTCGTCCCATTCCACGGATGCGGTACTCGAAAGGAGCACCCCTCATCAGCCGTAGCATCGGAGACGCGGTGGATACCTTCCAGACACGGCGGGCTGCAAGCATGGGGGCTGTTTCCTCAAAGGAACGGGTCGTCATCAGACGTCTGGCTGCTAAGAGATCCGAGACTATTGCAAACCAAGACTTGTTCCTCTCAACCACGGACCGGACTCGCCGGTACAACGAGCGGAACGAGCGGCTCCAGCAGCGTGCTTCATGGAGGGACCGCCGGTACCACAGCCTTGAGGACACCCGATCACGACTCGGTATGGTGACGAGGAAATACAAACGCGGTGGATCAACCTGTCCTGAGGACTTTGACTTTCAACTAACCTACACGAACGCGGATGACATGGCCAGAGAGCTGCGATCCAGGTCAGGTGCCGACCTGTTCGCCGGGGATCTCACGGACAAAGCGAGGCGAGGCACGCCCGGTGAACGAGGCGGGTCGAGTGGGACGTCTGACGAGTCCAGTGTGGTGCACAGCGTGGATTGTCCGATGTGCTACCTGTATGAACCGTCCAGGTTCGGGCATGTTTGCCCGCCTAACACTCCTCTCATACAACTGGACAAAAAAGACGAGATGTTATGACTGTTTAAATACCTCATACTAATTGGCTAACGAATACTGAGTCACTATTAATTATGCCAAAGATATGGATCTTGTGAGGTACAAAACAAATACCAAAATATAGTGGATAAATGTGACGACTTCTATTTTTATTCGCATGCTGATAAGTTTGTCTTTCCCTATTAATTCCCTATTATGAATATTTAAGATACGTTAATGGTTAGAAAAAGTGCGATTTTCTTACCAATCAAATTTGTTTTAAATCCACACCTACTTAGAGGGTACATACGCCCGAGTGCTTTCTTTTTAAAAGTAATAGAAGTTAGAACATAGCTTCAGTACGAGCATAATTTAAAATTGTCAACAAATTTGCTTTGTGAATGGTGTGGACTGCAAGTGGTTTGAGTTGGTGTGGTTAAACGTATGCCAAAAAAAATATGCCCCAAGTGATGATGACATTCTAACTCTTACTACTGAAAAATACTTACTCAGTTAAATGCAGTATGTCTTCATTTGTATCTACCTTCACTGCACCCATGGTCAGTTTTTAACCACAAAATTTAATATCTGGTGGTTTTTTGTGTGTACAGGGCGAGTCAACAAGAAAGTAACATGGATTGATGATTTTTTTTTCTTAAAAGTCAATCACATTTGATACATCAATGAAGTATGTCTTAAAAGAGCATGATCTTAGTCTTAACAGAGCATTTTCTTCCTCTCATGTGAAAAAAGAGGAATTACTGAAATTGATCATCCAGCTGTATCAGAAGTTATGCAACTTTTACTAAAAGAACCTATTTTTTTAACTGTTCATGAAATGCAATTGGAAGCTGGTGAGCTGAGTGAGAATCACAGATTACACACAGGCATTCATATAAGATTTCAATAATTTGAGTCGATATAAGGAACAAGTGAACTCTTTTTTCCGTGAATTATTAATGGGGATTTTTGTCTGTTTTCCTTGGCAACTTTTCGTTCGTTCGTGGACGTGCAAAAACGTCTATGTTTCATTGTATTTAATGGTTATTTGTCAGTTCGGAGAACGGTAAAAAAAAATAGTGGTGGACAGCTGATTGTTGTCATCATTTTATTTTAAATACACATAACTTGGGAATAGAGTATGCAAATTAAGTGACATTTTCACAGTTACTAGTGAATATTATTAGTTTATCACTAATTAATTTTATGAAATGAAGCGAGCCACATATTTTTTTAAATATTGTTTTGTTTTCTAATTCGGTCACATTGTTTTTGACTCACCCTGTAGAAATATTTATAGTCGATAATCATGTTGCAATTTAGCATTGCATTGCAGTCACTGATTGTATTAAGTTGTCACCGCCAAACAATTTCTGATCGTAATTTTTCCAAATCGTTTCACATCCAAGTAAAGAGATTTTAGGACACAGACAGCAATTGACAAGCTTCGTACGTTATTTTGTTTAATTAATTAATCAATCAATCCATGCCGACAGAGGGCGCTTCTCTGACGTGAAGCGAGTTGTAGAGGGCGCTATACTATCTCTTATGCTGGGCAGTTGTATTTATTCAGAGCATCAGATTACACGCATGACAACCGTCCTGTTTGATTACTCCTTGTAAATAGATCAAGTTTGACAACCAAAACAACACTACAGCTGACAAATTTGTGAAAAACACGCCTCTCCCAAAGAAAAATGTTTGAAATTTCTCCCCTAGGCACTCTAATGGATCAAGTTATGCGTCTGGTTGTTCGGTACAATGTCGATGTTTGTTCTGAAGTGTGTTTTTGTTTACCATCAAATTAGTGTGGGCACTGATCCGTGTAAACAGACCTTACAATGTTAATTTGTAACTCCCGTGTAAATAATGATGTCTATTGTAACCAAAGTTCCCGCCTAAATGTGATACTTTTGCCCAGCAACGGCGCATATAGGCAACCGTTGCTGACAACAAAATCTTGTCGGCAGGTCAGGCGATCGGTCTCAGTTATATTGTTGTATCTTATGGTTACAGTGCACATTCAAATTTGTGTTTTGAACAACTTTTAGTTTTGTTTCAAATTTTAAGATTCAAGCTTATCTCATACATTTTATAAACGATGTACAAGTAGCAGGAGCTTGTATTGGGTATTTCTTTGAAACAACGCGCGGAATAAAAAAAAAAACCAACAACGAAATCAATGAAAGACATCATAATAGCCAACCATTTGGGGCTGTTCATTTATATGTCTTCATCAGTCCATCTGAACACTAAACACCTTACAAAACAAATTAGATATACATGTATGTACAGTTATTGACTGAGCATGAAGAGGTTCACAAACGATAAACATTTTATGGAAAAGTATGCAATAAATTATATTCTGCACAGTTGTTCTCTTTCTTTAAACATGAACAATTCGTTCAAGAATCACTCTCGACAGGGGAAAACAAATTCCAATCAAAAACACATTCTAAACTGTTCGAAGTTGATGGCTAATGTGTCCCTCAGTTGAGATTTCTTTTTTTTTCCTCTTCTGTGGCAAAAAAAAAATCATAACACTTGTGTACGTTTCCCTCATTTTGAAAGGCAAACTGCCTAAATGATATCATATTTCATCTTCATCCCATTAAGCTGAATGACAAAGTTTAAATTAATTTTAAAAAAATCATTCAGGGCTGTTTGGTGGGCAGTCCACATCTTCAGGTGTAACACCAGCCGTCGGGATGTGAATAACTAACGAGGATGTCAATGTCTCGGACTTAGAAGCGAATTTCTCATCGCCAGGATCAACTCTCGGTTGTTGATGGGTGAAACGCGTCGCTCCACCCCCGTGATAGCCAGCAGCCCCCGCCAACCTGGATCCGTACTCGTACTCCATCCCTCTGTTGTCACTGTGATGTGGTGTATCTAGTTGTTGAAGCTTTCTCCAGATGATGAGAGGGACTCGGTGGTTCATCGTTGGCGTAGCTGCGGGAGGCAGGTACCGGGAACATGGTGCCAATCCAGGGATCGCTGCTCCTCGAGACACGGTCATGGAACCGCGTGGGCTGGCCTGACGCGTCGGTAGCGCTGCGTCCATGTACCACTTGGCCGCGTGAAGAGGACTGGTGTGGTACTGGGTCTGCTCAAGCCTGTTTGCTCGTGTCAGACCTCTACCTCTTAATACAATTGCGCCATTACGAATGTTTGGTTCAAAATCTCTTCTTGGGCTTCGGACATTTGCCTTTTTCTCACTCCTGTATCTTGCTTTCAAATCAACATCTATCATATTTGCTTCAGCCACATTGTTTCGCTTAACAGTTTCAGAATCAGAATGAGTTTTCCTTGCTATGAGTTCCTCATTGCTGCCATATGAGTCGATTTTGTCGTTTTGAGGGAAAGGCGGATTGTATGAAGTTTCATTAAACAGCCGTATGCTTGAGCGGCCCGTCCTCTCAGCAGTCCGTTTTCTTTGCTCCCTTAAGGTCTGATCCGGACTTTTATCGTTTTCTACGACTGATTGCTGATGATTTTCTTGATGTGATTCACTGCTGACGAAGTGTGAATTGTTGGAATCCATGCGAGGAAAGCTCACGAAGTCTCTCCCCTCCTTGCGGAGGTCTTCCAAGATTTCCCGGGTTTCTTCTCCCGTCTCAGCTGCCTTGAGAGTGGCCTGAGCCCGGCACATGGGGCACATCGAGCAATCTGGTGGTAACCCTTCTTCGGTTCTGTTCGCTTGGTCCACTATGCTGATCTCTTCCGCAAAATTCGGCGAGACTCCACTACTCACTGGCCGGCTGTCAGGTGAAGGAAGTCTGGCATTGAGCCTGAATGGTTGTAAGGCATCGACAGCCTCGGAGGGACCCGAATCGACCGTGTTGTCGACAAAGTGTTGCCGTCTCCAATTGTCGACAGGCATACGGATAGATGAAGCAGACCTGGCTTTAGTGGTATTTTCTTTTTCTCCGGCGTTAACCGTGAGTTCGGTTCTCTTATCATTACCAGGACTTGCCACGCCATTTGACCGACTATGATCGCTCGACACTATGGCCGATACAACATTGTTCCCATTTTCCACATCAAAATACCTATCTTTTAATAATGCAGACTGGCTTTCAATGTTAGGAGAATATTGTATCAAAGTCCTAGACTCCGATGCACGTTGTGGACACGTCGGGGTGACGTTGTCAGTCACTTCGTGGTCGATCGAGCCGAATGACAAACTAGACAAGTCCGAAGCAGACGACACCATGCGCTCGTTCACATTGTACACGCTCGTCCTCGGCAAACTCCCGCCAAAAATCTGGTATCCGGCGATCTCTCCCACCCTGTGATTGCGGTAGCCAGTGTCTGAAGGCTCGGTGCTCTTCACGGGATATCGGGAACTACTCAACCTGTCTCTGTGATTCTTTAGAAGTTGGTTGACACTGGAGCGAGAATTCTGAAGCAGTTTCTGGGCTTCTTGTCTGGTGTTGAAGTTGTCGAAAGCCAATGCCGGTTGGCTGTGGCTCCTTGTGTGTGCATTATTAACAAAGTCCAACTTTTCCTGGGTTGTTGAGTATCGTATTTGCATGGGCTTCCACAAATCAGCTATAATGACCGGTGTCGAACTTGTGGATGCAGAATTGTTCAGTTGGGAAGAAAGTCTCTGTTGAGATTTTCCGAGTCGGTTATCCACCGCGTTCGGTCCACGCCGTACCGTGTGTGGGTCGGCACTCCGACTGACTGTTAACTTCACATCCCTTCTCGTGCGAGCGTTTCTGGAATCAAGGGACGTTTTAGGGCTAGTCTCGGGTCTCTTGGAAGTGTTTGCGATGAGAAACTGCGGCTTATCCCAGGCCAGGTAGCGGTGTTTGACTTCAACTACGGGCCGTGGCGGACGGGCAGTCATGATGAGGCGTGACGCGCTACCACATCGGCTGCCGCTGGAAATGTCTGTTCAGTCTCGTTATCGGCCCCAAATGGCGAAGATTCTAAGATGTCATCCTCCACTACCCAAAGAGAAATCGGAATCTGGAAACACTGTGCAATGATCGTCTCATACGACCTGCATAAAATCAAAATTCAGAGTAAGATAGGGGCCTACGTGTTGAACTGATCACACGACAATAGACATGACTTGGAAACATGACACAAACCTATTCTGACAATACAGCACATTTTGTCAATGATCAACTCAACAGTCAACACAAATTGCAAAGCAATAAGCGACTCACGCACGATCGTGTCATTACTAATAATAAAATACACACTGACATGCATCCGATTTCAACGAGTCGATCAACGTGTGTTGTTATAATTAACAATTCCATGAGATGTTGAAGAGGCTGTCTCGATACCATCTCGCCCGTCTCTGGGCAACGCCGTATGCTCTTCGCAACATGATTCAAACCGATGTTTGCAGGTGTTGAGAGTACTTCAATTTGGATTGAAATTAAAATGCTATCAATAGACACTTCTTATATTTGGCATAGGCGCAGATATAGAAGGTCAAGAGGGCATCATTGTGTTAAAGTCAGGTGCAATTTTATACAGGTGTATAACAGAAAATACTAAACCATATTTCTGTGGTAACCATAAGTAAGGAGAAACAGTCACAACATCCCAGGAAATTTTGTCTGATAACCGCTTTTAGCTTAGCAAACATTTTCTTTGCTCAACAAATGTCTGTGCTTAACAGTAAAATAACAGCAGTTCGAAATCGGCTTGTTTTTGAACTGTTAAGTAAGCTGTTAGTGCAGTGCTGGAATGAATATAGATGCACCACAACCAATGTCTTTTATGAAGTGTTTGGCCCTAAAGAGCAACACTTGCCAGAACTAGCATTTATTCACATAAGAGGTTAATTGTCATATGCAAATCTCAGTCTGATACTTTTGAAATTATGATATGAATACGGTACCTTGTCCCGTAAGGTGGCCATCATATCTTGTACATGGCGTAACCGTCGCACACTAGGTGTTATACGGGAACATTTTCGTGAAACCACGGGCGCAGGTCGGTGCTTTTGATATCGGCCGTTTGCGAAAGGATGGAGCAATGGTGAAGTCATCCAAATAAACCACACCGGTCGATCATCTGTGAAATTAAGCCACCGCATCAAGACTTTTGCTGCTGTGAAGTAGGTTGCCCAATCGCTCTGTTGCCTTTTTAATCCTGCACGTTCGAGTCATCGTGATTTTAGTCAGCCTCCGTCTGATAACACTGTTGCATTTCACCATGGAGCGAACCTGTGCATATTTACCAGAAAGCTTTGCAGAGGGGGCTGTTTACTCCTTGCTTTTAACACTTGGGATCGGTAACCAAAACTTTGTTGATTTTAACTTGCAACTCTGGCCTAATGCTCACCAGCCAAAGTCAAATAACGCGATGTTTCCTATGAAAAGCTGAAACAAACTGCTGGACAAGACAAACAGTGTACCTTTCCATTGTGAATTGGAGAAGTTAAACACACATTAGCGAGGCAAAATGTAGAGAAATATAAACAACTACTACTAACCGGAAGAAAATCGGGATATGTTGTCCTTCCAAAGTGTCTCCAAAGTGGACAGCATGCATAGATTACGCCTCATGAAAACTAATCAGATTTATCAGCAGCGGTAAGCGGTCTTTTTGTGTTGGTTTAGCGGATTAGAAGATTACTGGGATTGAAGGAAGTGTTGCGTTGACAACGCTTGCGGGCTTACTTCTGCCATCCAGAAAGTATACTTTTAAATAAAAGAAATTTGCCTGAGATATATAATACTGCGAAGCGTTTCAATTACACGTAAAAGGTGTATTTTTAAAACAAAATTACGTGCTTGAGGAGTTATGTAAAAGGCGACTTTTTGTGTTGGAAATCTTGCTATCGCAAAGTTACTTTTTTGTTTCACGAATATTCCGCTAAACTGTTAGGACTGATGTTTGGAGTGCGCCCTCAAGAAAATACTACAGGAGCCATTGTAGTAACAATGGTCACTCGCAGCGTGACTTCTGTAACTTTCTTGGTGTGAGTTTGTAAAAAAAAAATTCTTGTAGTTAGCCTTGTTATCATTATTCCCCCCAAAAATACAACAAACTTATATCTCAGGAGAAAGTTAAGTAAATCGTTTTCTTTAGTACATGATTTTCGATATTTTCCGACTGTGTATCACAACACGAAATTTGGAGTTGACTACCGCTTGAAATATAAATATTGCCTTCTCTCTATTGCACAAAATAAAGATTTGGCAATTTTGTTTGGTGAAAGTTCATTTTATCGAAAGAAAATGAGGCCTTAACTTTTTTTTTTTGAAAAGCGCCCTCTCCGGATTCTGATTACGTCCCCACACTTTCACTCGTGGAGCTTTTTCAATATCGATCCCATTCATGACGTATGACACGACTGTACTGGGTTCATATTGGGTACAGCTGTATAGGGGTGCATGCTTGTGCCTCTACGGCTGGGCTAAGGGTGCACCGTGGGTGCGCTGCATGGGCCTGCGATCAATAGAGAGTACAATAGGCATGCCAATGCCTCGGGCACTCAAGCCTTGAATAGGGTGATCAAGTGGGCTCACACTGCACACAGCTATTTGCATTTCTCAACCACTCTGTTTATGGATACACAGTTGGAAAGTTTTGTGAACAAACTGATATTATGGTCGATGCTTCATGGACGCGTTAGTTTATGACTGAGATCCTCATAAAAGTGTCCGTTTGGAACTCTTATGTGTGTAACTCGACGGTCTTCACTGAGTTGACTTGTGATCGCGTTTCTGTTTGGGACATGTAATCTGGTTGTGAAGCGTACAGTCAGCATGACGAGGGTCAAGGGGTGACCCTCCATGGAGTGCCGTGACGAGCAACAACAGGAACGCCATACTGCGTTGCTAACGCAAAACTGTGGTTGAGTTCAGCGATTCCTAGAAGAAAATACTGAACTTCTCGGTGATAATCTGCAATCATGTGATGTGCTTGGATCGTGTGGATATGAAGATGTAATGAGATCGGAATTATGGCCAATGTAGGGGATTCAAACTGGAGTCTTGGAGCGTCCACGGGAAGTTTGGGCTCGACATCCAGTACCCCTCGCCTGTGCACCTACCGTGGGATGTACCGCAGTAGTGGGAGTGCAGACATCATGAGCCCACAGCAACTGTCCCCGTGCATGGACTCGGTTGTCGAGTCTCCGACAACTAGCTGCTCATCTAAGGAGCGAGACCGGCACAGCCAGACGATGGACGTGGCTCACATCAGGCTCCGGCCGGAGATCAAGCCAGATTTACCGTCGTCAGTACCGAACAGCGCTCGGGAGCCTCTACCGGGCTACTCGCCGTCCCACCACCGCGATCCGGCCAACCATCGCTCGGTCAACGAGCAGCTGGATAAGTACATGGTGATTCGGCAGAGGAGTTTCCACGGGTACGCTAGGAGCAAGCAGGACCTGAGGCAGCTCCCTCAGACGGACCCACGGGAGGAGACAGATAGCATCCCAAACTGGCTTCACCGCTCCAAGACCGATATTTACATCGAGAGACGGCGAGCCAAGCTAGCCTCACAGAGGGCCCGTCGACGCGGCGGCTCGGGTGGGTACAACCTGGACGGAATCACGCTAGGCAGCCTCGTCAACCAACTACCTGTCCCAGGAAAAAGAGACTACAACGGGAACTGTAAACTGGACTCATCAAGGACCGTAAACCCAGGCTCCCTTACCGGGGAGAGTCAGGGGGAAACACGGTTCCCTCCACTGACTATGAACCGCATGAAGCAGATGATGCGAAACGACATCCGGACTTACACCATAGAGAGCCAAGCCACGGAACACCGCCGGCCCTCCACGACTAGCGCCTTGCCTACCTCCTCCTCAACATTCCCCGTACCAGACCCACCTCCGAACTCCCCACCGCCCCAAACCAGGGAACCTACGGGGCACAAGAGGGGCCGGTTACGGAAACAGCCTCTAGGCTCCATTCCATTGAGGATATGGGAACCGAGCTTGGATTACGTACTCAGGAGTAATGCCAAGGAGTTACAACCCCGGCAAGCTGTGCCGTCATTAGCGCATCAGGCATCAGTGCGACAACAACCATCACCTCTGAAATAATCCCTGTTATTACCCATAAATTGTAAAATACAGAGAGTCTTAATGTTGTATTTAACCGCTGCTAAAATCAGGAACTTGTTAGAATTGAATATGTGGATCCAGTGTGATGCAGAAAGTAAAAGAACACATGTAGGCCTACTTGACATCATTTTTCGAAATTGTTACAGTTCTCAAGTTTCTAAAAGTTTTGCAGATGCAATGTGCCCTTTCTTTAGTCCTTTGATCCACCAATCATAGGTCGAAAGTCACTGAATTCTCCTGTCAATTTTCTGTCGAAAGTGCAAGCACACTTGGGAAAATTGTCCGATTTGTGACCAATCACTTTGTTCGCATGTGTTTCATTGTTTGAAATTGTCATGGTTTTATGAAACCGCGTGGAAAAACTGTTGTATTATTTTATTACTTCATTGTTCATTAAAAAAATACGGGTATATAACTTCTAAATATTTTACATTTAAAATTCGAACCCTGACCCTTACTCTTTTGACGGCAACGTTGACCGCCACCTGCATCATCCTCGTAAAAAAATAACGATCTGATGTCTCAATTAATTGATATCCCTCCCCTGAAACTTTGTGCTCCGCCCCTCCGATGAAAAAAGACTCCAGTCCATGCAGGTGTCCTACAAACCCACAAATCAACATGTGGTTAGAAAACCTTGGGTATATTTGAAAGTCTTATCTCATAAAGCTTAAAGGCCAATTAAACCGTCAATCGTCTCCTTTGTCGAAAATGGCGATTAAATATTTGTTCGCTTATCATTTGGACAATAATGTACCATTAAACTGTTGTGTGTAGATGTGTGTTTATCGCCGAATCTGGGCTACCCTCTCGTAACATGTGGACCTTGGTCTATATTTCAGACCTCATTTTTTAAGTAAAAAAATGAATGTGAAGTATAAATTGACTGTGCCGATTTTTGTTTGCCAAAAAGGTGCCGGCAACTGAAAAAGATTGACCCAGGTCATTTTTGCAGAGTTTTTAATATCAATGAAATTGAATGGAATTACAAACTACTGTTAATCATAATTTGTAACATAATCATCTAAAATTATTCCCTCATGATTATCCGTCCAATGTACCGTCATATTCAAAGGCTCTGTAAAGTATTTTGTTGTAACATCTACGATGATCAACAGTCTAGGTTTTCAGACAAAACTATTGTAAACGTTGCACAAAATATATCAGGATTTGGTGTCACGTTTCTTTCGTGATCTTATTTGGTGGAAACACTCCAAAAAGCATAACCTTTTTATCATCGTATCATTTTGTTTTCAGAATTTTTTTCTCATTGATAAGACAGAGCGCCAAAATGACATTGTTTTGACGGGAGTGATTGGTAATGTTTTTGCATTGAAGGAATTTCATTTACAGGATATCTATACTGAAATCAGCGATGACCATCAGTTCAACCTGAGAAAGTTCATAAAAGTTGACTTGTGTAAAACGAAAAAAAAATTGGATAGTGCAATCCTAACATTTGTATTTTTACTGTAGGAAATAATAACCTTGTACATGTATGTGATATCCATATACAAATGTACTCATATGCATGAATTCCGTCCGTTTTTATAGCCTTATTGATTATTTGCAAAATAGAAAAGGAGTATTGTTTGAAGTTTTGACTTATCCGTAGACATATACATGTAGATGATATACATAATGTTATATTGGACGATTATAAGGTAACCCTTATGTTACTGTTATTTTACAAGACAAAGGCCAAAAGGCCAACAATTGAAAAGGACTGTTAATGACACCTAAGTTATTACATTCATTTTAGTGACTTTTATTACGGGAATCATGACAATTACTGTTGGTCATGAATATTCTACGAAACAGCTAGTGTATCGGTGCATATTTTTGACATTCATTTCACGAGCAGAACAGTTTTGGAATTAAGTCATGTTCAAGTTGTCCAAATTTTGTTGGGGCGGGCCTTTCTTTACGACATTGTATCTTCAAGCGCTACCACATTGTGTACATGACACTTGTACATGTACACATGCACATTCTAAAAGTTATTGATAACCAAATTTAATCTACAAATGGCTGTTAAAAGTCGTTGATATTGCAACAGCAGCATTTTTGAGTGATATCCTTTTTAAAAGGCACATAAAATCAAAAAAGAACGTCCAACACATAGCCAAATGAAGTATTTATACTTGGAGGTGACCGATCTTTTTTTACCGAGGTGTTTTACTCGCCGTTGTTATCAGTATTTATGCGTTTACTTTGTTTATTATGTAAACGTTGTAATTTATTAAAGTTTTGAGATACAAAACGTGCCACTGGTCATAGGTTTTGTGAAAAGACGGCGAGTAATTTTCATCTTGATTGAAATTATTTGTGTTGGTGTATTTAGACAAAGTCTGCCGAAGAGTAGAACAAGGAAATACTTTTCAGGATAACTAAAAAGATATGGAAAAAATCACGTTGTACTTGCAGAACATAACCAAGTTTGAATGTTTAGAATTGTTGGCGAATAATTTGGGACAATTTTACAAATTTAAGTGGCTTTTATGAAGTAAGGTTCGGGAGTAGGCCCTACTTTGCAGACGCGTGTGAATTTTATCCCATATGATGTTAAAGGTCACGTCACGTGTTGTTTACAAGTAAATCACCCTCTGAAAAGTGCAAAGTTTACCTTACATAATTTACATGCAGGCCTACATTGACATGTTCATACATGTATACGAAACGTAGTACGTGTCAAATTTCACTCACACGATGGCAAGCGCAGCAACCAGTTGAATGAATAGCGCGTCCATGGCAACGAGGCCACTATCCCACAGCTATTTGACACGGGTCAACAATCCCCCATTGCTCTCGCCTCATGATTCAAGTGCTTCACTCCCATCAGCCTCATCGCTAGCTTACAAAAACTTCAAAACTTTTCTTCCTCATGTTTGTTAACGCCTGTAGATGATACTTCATGAAATCGCACGTGATTTGTTTTCTAAAGCCCCCTTTTCACTGGAGCTTGTACATCGTCAAATATTGATGGAACTCCCTAAATCTTTCATGTATGAGGGGAGGGCCGTGATACCTTCCCGTAGCTGGGATGAATTCTCAAGGTTGTTCCGAAAGCACCTGTTGCATGGGGGTAAACCTCACTCTGCTGTCATAAAGTTTTGTCTCTAAACAGACCGTAGCTCGAGGGTGCATTTTTGTTGCTGGGCTTAATTGCTTGCCCATTTTTAAAGCTCCTTATTTTGTTGTGTTTTAATTGCTTAAACACAGTAAAGGGTTGTCACTTATGTATTATTAGTTTTAAATTTTGGAAAGAATGTGTCCCGTCGTTAATACCCGCTCCCCCCCCCCCATGCTAAGAAAAAAACTTCAACAATAAATTGTTTCCAAGGTGTGCAACAGAATGATGATGATCTATGGAAAGATGTAAGCCCAAAAGTGAGCCTTAGTTGGCCCCCTTGGAATTACTGCCGATACTTTCTATTCGTTGACCTTGTAATCGGCTCAGAAGAACCCACAAAAGTGGCACCAATACATCAGCCGAATGAGAACCAATTCAAGACTTTGTTGGCCGACAAACGTCTTATTGAAGGATTTGGGAAATAACATCATGCACCACGATTAAACCTAGACGCGGTCATGATACATGGTGTTTATTTTCTGAGTGCGCCCTCCAAGTACATCGCCATCTTGGATCGAAAACGAGGTTGTGCTCCAAAAAATTTCCCTTCGTTATTGCTACATTTGTTCAGTCATTATACGTAACTATCCATTCAGATTACTGAAGCTTGTTTGAGAAACCTCTCTTTACTAACAAGCAAGTCTCTTTCAACTCACAAAATTAAAGTTCTTGTCCATTCCATTATAAAGTAGCAAATATTAACGCCGTTTTCACATGCGGCACATATGGATGTTTTAACAGCTATACTTCTGTTTACACAACCTGTACGAAATGATTTTACACTTCAGAGGAAATTAAGCTCAAATGAAACCCGTCAAACCAAGCAGAGTTTTGGATGATAAATTGCCATTAGTCACTTTCTCCTCACCTGGATATAGATGCCGAGGGGCAGCTCATTTGCGCCGTTATAATAGTGACACCCCTTTTGTCCTACCTCCGGTGCCTTCTGACTCTTAATCATCGAGTCACCTGCCGCTATCTCACGCTATCGCCCCGGGGCAAAGACAGTAGGAAAAACCTGGTTGTTTGGGCACAATAAGGTCCCCCCCCCCAAGAAAAAAAACACCTCAAATCGTGGTGTTCGTATGTTTAATAAATAATTGTAAGCTATTTTAAATTACTTTTATTTCATCCATGGCAAGTCGATGTTGTATGAATAATAGTTACTGAAATAATATTATTTTGCGCACTTCAGGAAATGTGAATTGTCCGAAAATTCCTTAACAATGACAACGTTTGAAGTGATGAATTTGTGATGAGTCAGATCCGAGAATAAAAAAAGTTGAAATTGATAAATTTCGCTGCAGCTTAAATGTTCAAAGTGCACCTGCATGCAGTTAATTTCATAACATGATTTGTGTTTGCATGATGACATTCGATTTGTACACATAATTACTGCAGCGTAGGGACAAATACAACAAAGCTATCAAGGACCTGGTCATTGTGTGACGATGTGACAAGTTGTTCTTGAGCTGTATCTGTTATCGATTCTGTGCTAGAGAACGGTCGAGTAATCGATTCTCTCAGGCAATTGCAATCACACCGAACAATGATCATCGACTGAGCGTGGGGCGGAGTCGCCCCGTATCCTTGGTTACGCCTAGCCCCTCAGGCCAAGAGGGAACAAGGATCTATTAGCGATAAGAGGGGCGGAGATTTGTTTCGATGAGTGGAGGGAGGTGGTGAAAGAATACTGATAAAACACTCCGATGTTGGAAATTCGAAACGGCGATACCATCTGACACTTCTACTGTAGTGACAGAAACCCACATTTTTCTTAATTCGTGATCATTAGATACATTTCTAAAATTCATAAAGCATTTTTATCTCGAACTATTTTTGAAGATCAGTGTACAGTGAGATCACCATAAGGTTCGGAAGATCATGAAATGAGTAACAAGTAATAATTTAACTTGCATTTTAAAATGGCATCAAACGTTATTCAGTAATATTGTATCATTATTTATTTGACGGGTAAAATTGTGCTAAGTTGCCAAGTTTAGAAATTGTGACAACGTTAGCAGAGTTGAGGCGTAGGTGTAGGCGGCCGACGACCAGAACGGGAAGACGCTGTTACTGTAGCCTGGGAACTCAGTGGGTGTTTGGTGCCCGAAGTGCGGCTCTTGGACCATCTTCTTGTACTGCTCATGTGGTACTACACCGGACATGGCCAGCACCACACTACTGTCAAGATCGATGTGCGTGTCGTTCAGTGGGATCTTGGTCCCGTTGACGTACTCCAAGAAGTTGATTGGGTAGTAGAAAGGCATCGTCTGTGCAATGACAGAATAATTTGTAAGAGGATTATTGACAACTGACTTTCAAACATTTTGCAGAGATAGAGGGACAGTCAGATTGGGAAGAAACTATTGGCCTATAAAACAAATTATGGACCATTCGAGATGGACAGTTCGGGATATTAAAGTATCCAATACATTATTGTATTGGCATTCCCCGGTTTGTTCTAATTTGGAACGGTACTTTAGCGATTTTCTAATTTGCTAAACTGCACAAGAATTGTCATCAATGTTTCTGTTTATGTTGTCGGTTGCAGACAAAGGCATTGAACAACTTCATTTTGTACCATCCAAGTTCTTGCGATCTGGATACACACAAGATGTCCACAACCTCCATGGAAGATGTCAAAAACCTTAAGACAATTCATCATCAGCGAAGGAAATCCTGAAAAGGGGAAGGACATCACAAGATCTTCGTTTAACTAGAAACTTACACTAGTGCCTTTGACCGAGCCCGAGAAGAACGCATTGAGAGGCTTGTAGTCATCACTCAGGATGAACTCAGCCAGCCACGACACTGCTTGATCCACCACACGAATCACGTCAACCGGGGTATCTGTAGAGGAAAAAAGAACCGATACGCTAAGTTAAGTAGAAGCAGCAGCAACAACAGCAGTAGCAACAGGATCAGCAACAGCAGCTTGTGTGTGCGGTTGCTGCAAATGTACAGGTATTCAGCAACTATCACTGGCCACTCACTCTGATACAATGCGGCCAAACAATGGCCCAACTTCGGCAAACATTCAGCCAGTCAGCTCCGGCCCGAACTCAATCGTCCAAAATAACAAGCCCTCTTGCAATCTTACCAGCTACCAAGGCAGTAGATTTCTTAATACTTTAATGACTGTCAGAGCAATTTTCTTGCAATCTTTCTTTTTAGTTGAAAACATAGTCAGTAAAATTAACCTTTTGCCCAAGTCAACTGCCCCGTTACTTCGTCCTGAGTTGTCCATGTAGCAATCAGTGTATTGACAGCCATGGATGTGGTGAATAGGCGATCGTCGGCGCTGTTCTGTACAAATCAAAAACATCATAAGACTTTTAAAAAAATCAGCAGTTTGGCTCGATTTGTCTCTTGAGGTTCGGCAATCGAGAACCCTCTCTTATCATTGAGCCAATCACCATGACTCACCTTCGGTTTTCCCTCCCACGTCTCGTCGGCTCCGCCCAAGAAATCATCAAAGTAAGCCCACTTGCCTCCTTCCGTCTTCGCCTCTGCCAAAATATCGGTGGTCACCCGCGACTGAAGCACCTCGTTCAACTGCTCGTACACCAATCTTCATTAATTAAAGAGAATATAATGCCCTATCAGTGGCTGCAGGTTAAAATGTTTGCCTTTACAAGACGGTTACAGCAGCAAATGATCTACACGGTTTTTTTTAATGAGGTGCACGGTCTTTATGCCTTCAAGTTCTCATTTTCCCCTCTGTAAATCAAAGGTGTATGGTTGCACTCTTGAACTCTGTGCACGACCTTAAGAGGGTGCTGTTTACCCTAGGGAGGAGATTGAGTTAAGGGCACTTTATAATTCGTTGGAACACACAAACTGTTTTACTCAAGAAGTCTTACTTTGTTGATGCGCGTGCGACGATAAGAATCAATGCATACCAGGGGAGTGTCCTACACAGACAGCAGTGACTGGCATTTTAACTGTTGAGGGGGTAAGACAACTTTACCTGAGTGATGGGAACGCAGGTAAGTCCCCTCTAGCAATTCGGTTGGCTATCAGGAACCTGGTGCGAGCTACGAACCAGTAGAAGTTGTAGCGAGACGGGTAGTAAGTCAGAGCTAGGTCTGGCCGGCTAGTCATCGTGCCACTCTCGATGACCCACGCGATAAAACTCGTCGTGTTCTCGTACACCATCTGTAGACGTACGTGGAAAAAAATCCCGAGGTGTACATTAACAAACAACATGTGCCAATATTGTTTGCACATTTGTCATACCGAAACCAAAGCGAGGCTAAACTTGCAGAACATGGGCTCCTTCATGCATGTATCCTGCATGACTGTTAAGTAAGAATCCATAATGGCTCAAGCTTGCCAGTTCAGTCTCTCTCTGAATGATAAATTATGAGTGTAAATGCAAATCGTTAAGAATAAATGTAATGTTCCCAATGAAATCGGTGTTAAAATTGAGTAAAAAGTAGAATTATCGTCCATCCTAATCTACACAGTTTTGACATTGCTCTTTTCGTTGTTGTGACTTAACTGTTAGGCACAGACAACATAATGTATCAAGATTTTGCTTTCAAAGAACGGGCAAGATAAGTGGGCCAAACTTAATTGAACCACCTTTAAAAAATCCGAGAATTCGCTTCAAGACTGACCCTGGTATCTGCGTCGAACCACGTTTTTGTTTCAAACATATTCTCCAGCAGAGCCGCATTGACACCGTAGATGACATTTGCGGCCACCGTAGAATCCACGTTGTTGATGTTGAACGGCATGCTGACGCCCTCATTGTGTCGCACGCGCTCCTCCGTTAGGTTTTGAATCTGCCGCCGAAATCAACAGAAACTTGAGTAATTCAAATGTTATTCAGTACTCAGCAGTTTGACTTTGAGGAAAATATCAACGAACGATAAGGGTATAGAACAACCAATTCTTACCCATGTAGTCACCAAGGAAACAGGCTTTCCTTCGTCGTTTGCCTTTTCAAGAAACCCGTGGGCGTAGTAATACGTCCTGGGATCGATCACGTTGGCTAAGTCGTCTGATAGAGGGCGGTATGCATACGTCTTGAGAAGCTCGAACGCCGAGTCTGTGTTTGTGTTGTTGGACTCCCACAGCTGGTAGAGGACGGGGTAGCGTTTGCTGAGCTGCTTCAGGAGGCTGCCCAAGCCAATGTTGACGAATGTGTCGTCAAAATCCGCGGGAATCTTGAAGGCGGGAAAAAGTTCCTGCCTGGAAATTCAAACAGCAAAACTGAGGTCGTATCATCAGACGGCAGTCGACATTACAAACTGTGGCTTCTGTTGAGACTGTAGGCCTGTCATATTAGTGCGCGGACGCCCTAATGCTACAGTCTGAAACTCTTACAAAGAATATAGGGGAAGGGGTCATGCAGTGGCACATAGTAGTTGCTACCACCTCGTCATAACTGCCTAATTCATGTGGGAACAAGTGAATAATATCTTCATAAGCCATGCATAGATCATCAAATTCTTTTCTAGTATGCTAGTATTATCTCAGAGAAGAAAATAATGACATCTGTCATCTTACCTCGCGCCTTGGAGGAATTTGAGGAGTTCGCAGACCTCAGACGAAGGGCCGAGAATGCTGCATACTTTCTCGATCAAGTCCCACGGCAGATCGTCGTCAAGGAGACTGATGATGGAAATGATGTTCGTGGGTTGGCTCACCCAAAGACCACTGGAGTGGTTCAACGTCTTGGGGAAAATAAAAAAGGATGTCAGTAGTGTGACGCCAGGCCCGGCTGCTCATCTTTAGCTTCAACGTTGACCTATACGTTTACCTCCTAGCCAAGATCCCTAGAAGATGTTTCAGGAGAAACCAACCAAGTACCAAGTACCAAGTATACATCTGTTAACTTCATTTTATGTGTGGTAAATCGACAAACAGACATCCACCGAAAACCTCTGATACAGAGAAACCTGCCGATTCGCTTCCACTATTAAAGTATAATAACACGTGCACAAAATGCACACGCTTGGCCTTAGCGGGAAATATTATATTTACATTGAAATCCATTGCCGGATCATGACACTTTTTTTTGAAAAACGACAGGCTCCTTGATCCGTGTTGAAATGTTGAATGGTTAGATCCCCATTTTGGACGAAGTTTTACTCAAACAATTTCAAGTTTAGGGCTAAATTACTATCGAATTGTGTCTAGGTGTCGGATGGTAGCAGCAAGGGGAAAGTGAAAAGGGTATTGTTTTGTTTATATTTCTCAGGCTTTTTTGGAATGTATACGTGAACCCCATGATTTGAATGACCCCTGCTCCTTATTAAACGTTTACCTGCGGCCAGAAGTCGACAGCCCCGTTCCCCGGCGGGCTGTTTTTATCATGGTGGGAGTTGATAAGCTCCAAGGCGCGTTTCATCGGCTCGTCACCAGGTACTGGGGCTCCTTTCCCGTACTGTCCCGCCTCCAGAAGGCAAATTGTCACCCATGCCGTAGCGAAGGCGTTGTTGTCGAACACACCGACTTGACGGAAGCCTGCTATCCACGGCTTGCCGTACGTGTTGATGCGGATGTTGCTCTCGTACACTCCCCGGTCTTTAGCCCAAAAGACCGGCGGGACGTAAGCGTGACTCCGCTGGACCTGTAGCCCGGCAATACGCCGATTCAGCTCCCCAATCGTGTGCTCAATGTCACGGTCATGATCCACAGAGGTACCGTATAAACTTCCAACCATTTTGGAAACCAGTAGTGCCACAATAAAGCTCACCGCAACCCGAACCGATTGAAACATGATTAAGTTTTCCACCACAAAGTATATATGTAAGAATAATGTTTCCTGTAAGTTTGGATTATCAGAAAAGAATACTGTATTGTTATTGTGTTCATGTACAGAGGAACTGTAGGTCATGTTATCTTATTTTGTACAGAAGGTAGGCGTGTAACACAATGGACTTGAACCATTTGCAAGCGGACAAAGTTCACATGAAAACGTGACTATTATTTGATGTTTGTTCATGCGAATCATAATTGCTCTTAGGTTAGGCCTATATGCAATAGCAGGGGCCTAGCAAGGTCATTTTTATTGGGGGTAAACATTTCTTGAAAAGGGCACTGAAATTTGACACCATGCCTCATTTTTTATCCAGATTAAAAGAATCATCTCCATTTTGACCTGTATTGCCTTTTATGCAATCCTTGAAATGTACTTTGTGTTCCATTCACCTTTATTATTTAATTTTCATAATTGCCATTTTTAAGGGCGTTTTGGTGCCCTTTTGGTTTTTATGCTTATACACATTTATATAATCATGAGCAAAACTGTGATGTCATTCAAGGCAGAACGTTCACTTTCACATCTGCTTCAGCATAAAAAAGTCGCCAGAGTTATGTGGTTTGCTGAAAGATGTGTCCCTAGGGGAGTGACATCACGGCAACAGCGCCCTCACTTGTCAGGAAAAACATGAAACATTTTAAATGTTTACAAAATGTGTACTTTGCACAATTTTTACAAAAAAGGATGGCTCATATAGGTTTTTTTTTTATACAGTTCAGAGGAATGGATATTGCTACAAATAAGCACCAATATAAAATTCATTTTACGGACACTTTATAAACCTTCAAATCGACTCTAATTAAGTATGCATACACTTTGGTGGAGTCAATTCAAATGAATGTCACAATTGAAACAGAACTACATTAAAAAAAAAAAGTTTACTTTTTGCTTTTATTACACTACAAACATTTATCATTAAGCATTCTTATACCAAAAATGATTTAAATCACGACTATTTTGCCAAAAAACAACACAATTAATTATTCATAAATGGTCATCTTTAAGAGAGTATGGCTCTAAAATCAATAATTTCGAGGATTTTTCCGAAATGTATTGATTTCAATCTATTTTGTTGATTGTATTACATTTAAATCCTATTGTCTAATTTGTTGTGAGCATTTCTGGATATTGAGAAGCCCCTTTTTTTGTACTATGCTTGTGAAGTCAGTCATCAAAGATAATAATATTTTAGTCATTCCAAACTTCAATAGACATCAAACTTTAAATCTTACAGAATATATTTCACACAATCAAAATGTTTTTCACACAAACTTGTAACAATCAAAATTGTTGACCACTCTCACACAGCCTAGCTGTTACAAATTTACATTTTGAAAACACACTTTTTCCCGTGCATTCAGTAAGTTTTGTTATCTATTTTTTTTCCACTTATGAAATTTTGTGCAAAACAACAAACTGATGAGTCAACTTTTGTCATGCAAAAACATTACTGACAACCAGTAAGAGTGTGTTTCTGAATAGAACAAGATGTGGTTGTCTAATGGAAACTTTTTAAGCTAATGAGTTCAAAAATTGCTCCTTAAGACTGTGTACAATGATTTGACAAAAGAAAGAGAAAAAGAAATTAAAATTCTTATGAAATAAATATTGAAACTGTAAATGTCATGCACGGTGTGGTGAGGAGGTACTTGGCTCAACAAATTCACTTGATGGACGTCATATTGATGTCGGGGGCCCAGTCTTGCCTTCTACATATCTGATTGGAGCTGTGGATGAAAAGAAAAGAAAACCATGTGGATAATCCACAGCATTATGAAAAGTCCCTACATGATCATGTTGATGTTTGGAGTTGCAATCAAGGTTGCAGTTTCAAATCAAGTCAGTAACCCTAACCTCCCCCAATCCGTCAAACCCAAACAGCATGTTTTGTTGGAATCTGTCAGGATGGGTACAGTACCCCTAAACTGACAGTCTTTTACATTGGGTTGGCACAGCTCCAGAATCAAAGTCAAACATGTGTGTGTGTGCAGTTTCCCATATGGTGTTGGAATTTGCCAGGATGGGTGTGGTTCCTAGGATTAAAATTATGCTAGGGAGTTAATAACTGTTGAATAAATTGTGACAAGGGCATTCCTCTGTCATATTTTAACGATTATCACTCACTACTTGTGATCACACGTCATTGACCTGTGCGCTTGTCTTGCGATGAATTCAATTACAACATTTTCATCAAGTTTCTATCCAGCGTGACAGACTTCATATACCGTACGTGTCTTTCCTTTAACCCTAAACCCCTCGAGTGCTTTACTAAAAACCTTTCTCACTCTTGCAAAATCTGACACCATGTAGTAAACTCAACACCCAAAATTTTGGACTCTGATTATTGGTGGTATGCCTAACCCCATGTAAAGCATAATCAGTTTACTAGTGCAGTACTCACTCCAACAGATTCCAACAAAACATGCAGTTGGATTTTGAAGGGTTGGGGGTGGTTAGGTTAATACACTTTCCCTGATGAGTTCTTGGTTAAATTCTTGAACACTCTTTTATATGACAGTACTTTTCCACCACCATTTGCTTTCTGGCATTCTTGCTTCATTGCCAGAAATGAAGTAGCCAGTGAAGTAACACAGCTTCCTGCACATTATACCCTCAAAACCAATGACATCTGTGAATGCTATGTTACTTCCAAACCAGAATCACAATATTACTTTGTGTCTTGAATACTTACTGGGATACCTAGTCGGCATGAGTCTGTTCGTCTCGGAAGCCCTGTCCTTCCACGGCCATGCCAAGTACACGAGGGGTGCTGGAAATGTCAAAATACAGGACTCAAAATTATGAGACATTTGCCCACAGACCATGAGACGGACTATGACTTTTAATAGAGAAGTTAATGTCATTTTGTCCACAACTTTACAAAAATGGAATTGAGACCTTTTGTTGTTCACTTTGGAAACACTCTTGTAATGTCTGTGCGAGTTATAATTTAATCAGCATATCACGTGATAGAGCTTGGCAATTGTAGACGCTAGAATGTGAAGATTGCCATTTTGTTGTTAGGACTATTTAAAACGGAAACTTACAAGCCAATCCCAGGACTGCAGATGCTACCAGAACCGGTTCATTGTCCCATGCATACTTCAGCCATGGTACGAAGCCTGTCACCAACAAACAAAAAAAACGCAAAAGGGTCAAAATGTTGCACACACCTAGGCCTACATGTGTATTCAGATATTGTTGCATGTGGAAAAAATTACAAAATATGTAAAAAAATCACTTACATTTCAGCATTGTCAAAATGCACAGAGAACTTTAAGCTTGTTAAATCTCTGTCTAGTCCTCTTATTTAATACAAATTTAAATATTCACAGTGGGTAGGTGAAGCATGTATGATCAGCCCACATGACCCATCATGGCATGCCTATCCAACCATCCAATCCAACAAAGGGAAAGATTCCCATATCTGGCCATCACTAATGTTCCCTTCAGTCAGTCACTATTATGTCCTAAAAGTCAAATTTAGCAATAAACAGGGAAAATATTGAAGAGTTTACTGAGAAGTCACTAAGAAATTTTCAGACCAGAGTCATACTCAAGACATAGGGTTTATGCACAGGGTGGCAAGTGATGGGCAGATATGGGAATCTTTCCCAACAAACATGACAAAGTACACGTACAGTAAATGAGTAATTAGTAAACTATCAAAATGAAACTTTAGGAATGCAGGCTCAGTCCCCTCAGCCTTCCTGTTCTTCATTCTGCTGGGTTTTTTTCTGACCCTACTATTATTAAACAAGATAGTTCATTTTAACACCAGATCTACGTTCAACAGATTGAATCAGTTGTTTTCAATTTCAGTGGAACACAATTTTTTTTCATTAATGGAATAATGGTGGCTTCGTGCACATTGAATTTGCAAAGTTAGTTGCAAAAAGTTGAACACTTGCATTTTACTTGCAACGTAGGCGTGGCAGCTATACCAAACACTCTATTCGCCTAAATAAAACTTACATCTTTGAACAATATAGCAAAGTCAATTAAAAATCAAATTATGAAAACAAATGAACACAAATGGTTAAAAACAGACCTCTTTTCCAAGCCTGCTTGGCAGGAGACAACGCTCGAGTCGCCATTTTGATAGTGAAGAGCGCCCTCTATTGTTACTCGACGCCAGCGCACGATCCTGTTTTTTTGACAGTTTGGCACGTGTTTGTATGGGGTTTTGTATTATGCAACGCGTACAGCCCGGCGTATTAAACGTTCGTGTTTTAATTTTTGTATTTTCTTTGCACCAAAATTATACTAATTTGAGTACTTTGTTACCTGTGACTATGACATAAAGTAGACGAGAAGTTTGTGGACATCTGCAATTTATTAGCAACCTGCCAGCAGCCGACACATTACTTTACTGTAATCCCTTTTTTGGAAAGAGTTCCAGCATTTGGCAGCAATCATGCCTCGACACCACTGTGCACAAACGGCACAAACCTATGACTGGTCACGGTGCAAAATTTCCAAGTGTTTTCTCAGTAAATACTTCAATATTTTCCCTGTTAAATTTGACTTTTTTAGGACATGTTGCTTTCTGATGGCTGATGGGTCACTGCAGGGAAAACTTAGTGATGTCTAGCTTGAAATTTCCAGCTTTCCAGGCTCAGATATGGGGAGATTACTGTCACCATCATCATGATCATGGTGACAAATTGAGCAGTTGTACATACCGGTAGTTGCACTGAAAAAACCCCCCCATTTTTCTCAGGTTCAGCTTGATCTTACTGTCATTTTCTGAGAGGATTCTTTGCTGCATAAAGGATCTAGGCCAATAGGCTGTAATAGGAGAGTAATTTTAAGGGAAATGGACAGTATCGGCCAAAAAATATGACCATGGTGACATCTGCATTCTAAGTGTGGTTAGTACTGGTTCCAGCTTTCCTGGTGAATCTCCCCAATTCACGAGCCTAGAAAGCTGGACATTTCAAGCTAAGTGATGTCCATGTATGGAATTCTTCCCTTTCTGTTCCCATTTTTAAATTTGTGACGTTCTCATTTTTCAGGTTTGCGGGTGTTGTATGAGCCGTTTTGGCCTGGGCCGGTGGATCTGCTTGCCGCACCCTTCAACTTCAAGTTCAAGACATGGAAGTGACGGTGAGAACCCCAAGATGCAGTGCCGATCCATTCAACTTGAGGGGTGGATGTAAGAAATTTACATGAGCAGATAGGTAGGCCTATCCTACAATTATTTCTGTTGTATGGACATCATGAGAATTTTCAAGGATTGCATTAAAAACATTAAATTACATGGGCCCTTTAAACACAAGCCTTTGATACTGTAAGAAATATCCTCTCAACTTTTCCTCCCTCCCCTGCCAAGCTTAAGTCAGCCTTCCCCTCTCCCCACCTATCACACCCCTAGATAAGATGTGGATCAGTCCAGAAAACACTAGACAAATCTCAGGGTTGACGCAGGGTTGAAAACATGCATCGGTTCACACTCGAGGAATTTCAACCCTGCATCTACCCTGCTCCAGACCAGGGTTGAGAATTTTTGTTTGGTCGTTTTGTTGAGTTTATTAATAAATTAATTTTTATTTAATATTTTGGGGGAGGAGCATGCGGTTGCCAAAATGGCATTGAAATATTCGATTAAAATAGATAAAGAAATATTTTGCTTTTATGCATGTGAGACACCAGATATAAGAAATTGTGAGCTGTGATCATCTAAATGCTTGCAGCACATCTTTATGATTTTTATGTGCAGTTTTTTAAGTGATTTTTTTTACAACAGTCACTGCTACTAAGGTAGAGTATATACCTCTAAATTTAATCCCAATCTTTGCAAGTATTCCAGGCAGTTTATTTGAACTAATGTTATTTTTTTTTTACATTTTAATATAAACAAAATGGCTTTTACAATTTCCTTAAAGAAAAAGCTTGACACTTGGATTTTATTTTTGGTATCTTATCAATTGCTTAATATGTAATTTTGTGTAAAGCTGTCATTAAGGGTTTTTGTAGTCATATTTCCCAAATAATCTGTACAGTTTACTCTGAATTTTCTTAATTGATCAAAGTGTTGTACATGTATTAGCATTCTATTAATTTTAGTTATTGTTGTAGAAAATAATCTGTTGCATTTGCATTACATTAATTTGTGACAAATGGAAATAAAACAAAACAATACAATACAATACTACAGCAAGATTCACCTTGAGAATATGATATTAATTGTCGACACAGTTTACAGAAGTGAACTTTTATTTTTGTCAAATTTGTCAACAACTTTTTGTTCTGTTTTTTAATGTCATTTATAATACATTTTAAATTTTTAACCTATTCATCCCAACCTGCTTAATTCGTTTAAGCAAAAGTACAGAAGTTAAGGATAGTGAGAAGTCATATTTTGGCACTGTCAATGTTTGAGCAATAATAAAAGAATGAATTTATCAGTTGAATATCAAGTGGAGTTCTACAATTCATTGTGTGTTATTTTCTTTCATCTGTTATTTTATTTTCTTTATTTTTTTTTTTGGGGGGGGATATACAGAACCAAAAGGAGAGCAGGAAAAAGTGTTTGGCTTGAAAAGGAATAGAACATTTGGAAAAAAACTAGACTGAATAAAAACACTGAAAAATATATATATAGTTCAAATTTTCCCAAATTGAAATTAAACATTTATAATTTACAGATCCTTTTTTGCCCCATTAAGGTAGTAATGTCAGATATAATGATATTAGGGAAATTAAATGAATAAAACAAATAATACAATATAACAGGAAAAAAAATAACCCCATAGGATTCGAACCTGGGTCACCGGATCGTGAGTCCCGCGCCGTTCCGCAAAGCAGCTAGCACTACATTGTTCCAACGGTGGATTTGTTAGGCTTTGATTATTAGGATGTGTGTTAGTTTTACACGTGCACAAGCACGTGTACGGTTAGACGCGAACAGCAGTCTTATGAAGAAGTAACTATTTGTTTGATTCTAAAATCGTAGGAAATAAAGCCAATTAAGAGATTGATATTTGATTGGGAATTGGAGGGGGTGCAAACGGAAACCATACCGCGGGAATGAATGAACTGAAACTGGTACAATTCTTGATTTCCACAAAAAGGTGAACGTGTTCAACGGATGCAAGGAAGGCCATTTCTTTTGTTAATTTCCTTTGTTGAATCTGGCGTTAACAATAAAATGTTTCCATTGAGGCGAAAGGATTAAACGCCGCTATCTTTTTCCACGCTTGAGTGCATCTGAATGGGTGTTTTTCAAGCGGAAAATCACGAAATACAACTCTTATACAGCATTTTAACCCACAAAACGATACTTTTTGCAGAGGAAATTGCATACTGAATAAAACTGTAGTTTCAGAATGCAAAAATTCGCCGTATTAAGGAAATCGATGTCGAATTTGTCTGCAGTTCCAAGCAAAACATTTCCACTTTCCAACGTAGGTGGCGCTATATATATTTTATTTCAAAGCACCACAGATATCACGTGGCGTACGTACATAATCGGCATGCCACGTATATCGCAGACGCATTTAGGTCGTGAATAGTGTACCTTTGGCTCATGGAGTCAAGTTCAACTTCAGGAAAATTAAGTTATGACTGAATTAATGTTTGGTGTTAGATCCTTCGCCCATCCCCCCCCCCCCCCCCCAAAAAATCCACAAATATTCGTACAAGAAAATTCATTGCAGGGGCCAAAGAGGCGTTTTTCAAAACTTTGCCCCGTTTCCATTTAAGAATAATTATTTTAAGATGGACCTCTGGCTCAATATTGGGCCCTTTTACGCTTCCGAAAAATTAATTTATTAATTTATGACTGAATTTATGTATGGTGTTATACCCCTTGCCCCCCCCCCCCCCCACAAATACTCGAATGTCCTGCCTCCCCTTTTATGGACATTATCGTGAGTTTAACCCCGTTTGTTCTAGTCACGGCCCGGGCCCAATTCCCGGCTTGAGACACACTGTACTGTGAGCGAAATATATAGAGCGCCACCTACGTTGGAAAGTGGAAAGGTTTTGCTTGAAACTCCCAAAAAAATTGGCATCGATTTCCTTAATACGGCGAATTTTCGCATTTTGAAACTACAGTTTTATTCAGTATGCAATTTCCTCTGCAAAATGTATCATTTTGTGGGTTAAAATGCTGTATAAGGGCTGTATTTCGCGATTTTCCGCTTGAAAAACACCCATTCAGATGCACTCAAGCGTGGAAAAAGATAGCGGCGTTTAATCCTTTCGCCTCAATGGAAACATTTTATTGTTAACGCCAGATTCAACAAAAGAAATTAACAAAGAAAATAGACTCCCTTGCATCCGTTACACAAGCCTCCTCGTTCTAGCGGTACCGTGTATATACCTCTAGGGGCGACGTCGCCTCTAGCGGTAATTAAGTCGCCTAGCGGTACGTCGCCCCTAGCGGTACTGTACCGCTAGGGGCGACGTCGCCTCTAGCAGTAAGTCGCCTCTAGCGGTACCGTGTACCTCAAGGGGCGACGTCGCCTCTAGCGGTACGTCGCCTCTAACGGTACCGTGTACCTCTAGGGGCGACGTCGCCTCTAGCGGTATGTCGCCTCTAGCGGTACCGTGTACCGCTAGGGGCGACGTCGCCTCTAGCGGTACGTCGCCTCTAGCGGTACCGTGTACCTCTAGGGGCGACGTCGCCTCTAGCGGTAATTAAGTCGCCTCTAGCGGTACGTCGCCCCTAGCGGTACTGTACCGCTAGGGGCGACGTCGCCTCTAGCGGTAAGTCGCCTCTAGCGGTACCGTGTACCTCTAGGGGCGACGTCGCCTCTAGCGGTAAGTCGCCTCTAGCGGTACCGTGTACCTCTAGGGGCGACGTCGCCTCTAGCGGTAAGTCGCCTCTAGCGGTACACGTTCTCTAAGTGTATATATAAGGTGCACGTGCACCACAGAAGTAGAATTACAAAACGCCTTTAGACAAAACTAACCGGCTTAAGGCGAATTGCGGTGTACGGTGTATAGCGAGAGATGCAGTTTCATTCAATTTCAGCCGCCCCGGGCTCAGCCTTTTCACAGTGAATTTGAATATATGAATATTCAGTTTATAGCGCTGCTGTGTGGAAATTAATGACCCCTTTTGTACAGTTTTTGTAGACTTGATGGCAGTAAATAGTGTGATATATTCCCCCATCCCTCTCTTCATATGGCCATTTCTATTTTAACCTTCATATATCCCGGCCCATTTCAAAGGTTTACTAAAGAAAACAAATCTAGAACAACAAACAAAGGACAACAACAAATTGTCTTCTTCTTTTTTTAAATAAAGGTTTATTCTGTACATGAGCATGTATACAACAACTCTAATTTCAAAGTCAAAATATTTATGTATGCTGACCTATAAAAACCTTTGCTGGTCACATTTTACAGTAATTAAACATGAAAAATCAATGTTTTAAAGGTGACTCATGTTTCTTGGTACGTGAATCATTTTCTTTTCATGAGGCCCCAACTTAACTCCAAACTAAAGCCAGGCTTTCCTTTTCAAACTTTTTCTTTCCAAATTGTCCATGAAACATAGGTTTTTACATTTGTGAAATTAGTTGCAAATACTCTATCCATTCCTATAAACACTGCACATGGTCAGCATTGCTCCTATGTAAAGTATTTTTATGGTCATTTTCCCCGGGATTTTTTTACAGTTTTCATAGAATTTCTACACAGGTTCACTTTGAGAGTAAGATTTTGTTTGCAACAATTTCAGCATGCAACTGAAATTAGTAACTAAATGCATCAACGTTTTTATGTCAATGAAAATATGCAAACATATAAACACGTTGAAGGTAGGGTGTTGGTACATAGAATTAAATATCTTTTCTATAACAAGATAAATCATTTCAAAGACTTTTGTTCATTCCTGCAAATAACTACCCCATGCCAAAATGCACCCAAAACACATATCTATCAGCCCAAGATTTGAGCTATGCTGATTGCGAAGTATGTTTTGAAATTGATGGCATGGGATGGCTCAATGTAAATTTTAAAATCTTTGGAATGATTTTAAAGGAGCACTATGATGTATTTAACTTCATTACAGTCATAAACCACAACTTTCAGATTACTTTTTTTGGACACTCTGTAGACAAGTATGAGATTTCTTTTTCAATCTATAGTACAATGTACAAGAATGAGAACAAGAACAAAGCAACAATATTTATAAACTGGAGTAATTACAGTAGTAGTTTATGCCATATAAAACATTTTAATTGTTTTTACTGTTTTATTGCAATTAACGTATCACGGTAGAATCACATCAATGCAGCTTTTGAATGTCCAATTACATGATATACAAATGGACACAGAACGTGCAAAATCTGAGACAAACAAAACTCAACGTACGGAAATTCCAAACGGTTGTCTAATGGTCGTGACCAACTCACAAATGGTGGTAGGTCAATTAAAGACAACTATTATAGCCATTTTTCAAACCCTATATTCCTTTTAGACTTTGGCTTACTATCTGGCTCTTTAAAATGTGTAGGAACAACAATGGAAATACTCAAAATGTTGTTTTTTTTAGCAGAACATCAACATATACATGATATTTTAAGCCCCAATCGTAAAAGAAAGGAACTCCAAATCACAAAGCTGCAGTCTGGAGCCAAAGTAGTAGAAAGAGTATTCAATAACAATGTAATATTCTTATCTATGTTGCAAAATGATTAACACTTTATTTTATCCCATTCTGTCGATGCTAGTTGAGCTGGGAGCAGAAGCTGGAGATGAAGCCGAAGTCTCAGAAAAGGCATCATCAACTGTGTGTTGTAACAGAAGATGAAGTATCGGCAGAGTCCACATTCAGAAACAGTGTACGAGGTCTGAGTTGCCATATGACCGTTAAATGAGATTCGACTGTTCACTGTTCATTTCATCCAATGGTAGTCAAGCCTGGAGACAAAGCCACGTCTCAGAATAGGCATCGTCAGCTTTGTGATAGATGAAGTATCGGCAGAGTCCAAATTCAGTAACAGTTTATTACATCTGCGTTGTGACAGTTGTATCAAGCTCTGTTGATGCTAGCCAAGCCTGGAGCTGAAGCTGAAGAGGTCATCGTAGTTTCAGGAATGCCCATCATCAGCTTGGCGTCGTAGTGTTTGAGGTTGTTGAGGCACTATCCATGCTGAGTTGTTTCAGGAATGCCCATCATCAGCTTGGCGTCGTAGTGTTTGAGGTTGTTGAGGCACTATCCATGCTGAGTAGTTTCAGTGTCTCTGCTATGAGTGGAACTGTGGACAGTTTGCTGTTGACTCCGACGGTGAAGGCTTTCTGCAGCACAACCTCAGCGTTCTCTGTCGGAACGAAGGCCACATATTATTGTGAGTAGTTTACAAGATAAATCATGGTTTGTATGCCATAAGGGCCAAATTGTGATGCATCGTTTCATTTTTGGTAGTCTTATCAAAGAATGTTTGATGACATCACAGGTAATTAGGATTTATTGTTATGATTTCTTTTAGGCTAAAAGTAAAAAGCTAAATATCTTTTATTTCCTAAATCATATCCTCAATTTTAGGTATTACCTCCCCAGTGCTACTCGTTAATTTTTTTTCTTTTCAAAGTAGTAAAAATGTAGATAATTTATCAAGCTGTTTTAGGTTGTAAGGAGAAAATCTCGAAAAAAAACTAAAATTGTTGCACAGCTCTTGAATATTTTGTTTTACCTTGGCAGAGGAGCGTGAACTCAGGAAGATTCTTCAAAGCTGTCTGTACCACTTCTTGATCCATGCTGTTCAGACATTCCATGTAGGCAGGTAGAAACTTGCTGGCAACACTGACAAAAAAATACACACAACTAAGAGTAAAATCCTTAAACCAGGGTAATTTGGCTTGGAAGTAATAGTTTGATGGGGACTAGATTTACAGTCAGTGGAAAAATTTGGGCAAAATTATGCGAGATTTAATTCTTGAAAATGAAAGTTCTACTGAAGCATGTGCCAGCAATTGTTTGATACCTTGGGTCGTGTCTGATGTATCGAATGACGAGAACAAACGCCGTCTGCCTGCAGTCTTTGTTGCATGATGTCATCTGAGTGGACAATTCAGTCTGAAAGGCAATGAAAAAAAGGCAAAAACATTTTCCACCAGATGTCTTTATTTAAATTGCCCCTTAAACATTTATGACCACACTTTCTCATTCTCCAATGCTGTATACTTAAAGAGTTTCCCTCAATGAGACAAATTCCAATCAATAAGTTTGAAACATTTTGTATGTTTCAGGCAATTTCAATTAGTATGCCCTTTGTTTGTATTTTTTATGAGGCACCACTTTGGACTTCTCCAAGTTGAAATATCAGACAGCACAGAATATTAAAACTGATAGCCTTTTGAAAGTTCTACACCCAAAATGTATGTTCAGATCTTAAAAACCGAAACTTTTCATGAGTTTCTTCAAAACAGGTTGAAAGGCTGGTCAGTTGTGGCTGCTAGGTGCGTTTTAGTTCTGGCCACTGTGGTTTTACCTTTAAAGTTACTTACCACAAAATTTTGAAGGATTCCCACAGCACTGCTAGACTTCTCCTCCAGCTCATTCAAGGCTTCAGCCATGCCTAGTCAACAAAACAGAGGAGACCGATGAAAACGTCAAGAGAAAGACCACATACACTCAGCTTCAGAGAGAAGTTGTAGATATCATTTTTTGAGATCTTGCTACTCAACTACCATAATACTTCCTCGCAATCTACCTCAGCGACAAGGGTTTGAGTCTAGTCATGGGCAACATTTGGATTGAGTTTCCAAATGTCTCACTCTCAGATACATACCTTCGGAATCTTCTTCCTGAGATAGTCTCTCAGCGAACGACTTGACGTCCTCGGTATCCCACGATGCATCAGCCCCCATCATGGCGGCGAGTGTCGGCGAGTAAGTCTCCTCGCGACCTCCGACCCCTGGAATCTCATCCATGGCTTGCTCCGCCTGGTTGGGGGCGGAGCCAAGCCCTGATTGGTCCTTGGAGGATGAGGTCAGCGTGATGCTTGCCAATAGGGACTTGAGCTGCTGGATGTCTGGGTAGACCTGGGATAGGTTGCTATGGGAAGATTTAAAAGGAGAGGGACAATAGAGTTATAAATTTCTCTAACGCGACGTGATTTGAACAGCCCATAACTTTGTGTACTTCAAATTCTGTACTACAAATTCTGTAAGTGTCGTACAAGAGTGTACTTGCTCTACATAACCCCCAGGACAGACACACAAAGGGAGAACAACAGATCCTTTCAGTCCTCGGGAGTTGGGTCTTTTGTTCAAAACGGTCCTCTGTGGTAGGTTTGTATGCTTAGTCTATGGGAGTGTGTTATATTACAGGGACAAAGGAAAACACAAAGCATTGTCCCCGGGAGTATAGTGAAACAAGAGTGAAGTTACTTACTTGAGTGCTGTTGAGTGTTTCTCAAGGAGCGGCTGAGCCTGGGTTGGGTTGTGGCTGGAGTACTGATACAGAAGCTGGATGAACTTGGTAATGATGGATTCCAGAGGCTTCTTAGCAATCACAGAATGCTATAATGAGTCAAAGATACAATAGTACACAAATATTACACAACTGTATATTATCCATATTTATTCCAATACTACTTTTATGCAGTATGGGAATGTAGGCTAGCACACAGTATATGCACTAGTGCCCTCGCTGCCAGTCAATATAAAAAAAAAAAAATTTCCCCATTCAGAGAGACACAGTATATGCAGTTATTTATGCTAGTTTAATAAGTACTATATACAGGTTGGACAGGGAAGTGATCTCGATATTATTCACTAGTGTCCTCAGTGCCGGTCAATATACAAAATATTACCCCCTTCTGTGGCAATGGGGACAGACAATTAGCCAAGGTAAGTCAACTATTGGTAGGATAAGAAATTGGGTTTCAATAAAACCCTGCACTAGTGCCCTCACTGCCAGTTAATATACAAAATATTTCCCCTGTTAATGGCAAGGGCTCACAGTTATCCACACTAAGTCCTACATACCGGTAGGATAGGGAAGTAGGCCTCCATGATGCCATGCAGAACTGTAGAGGGCTGAGCAAAAAGTTGAGGTTCAAGAAGTTGTAGGATTCCTAGGATGTGGTTGAAGAATCGTAAGTGACCACGGACGCGGAACTCTTTGAAGTTAAGATGGGTCCGGCCTTGAAGCAGAACGGTCACCATGGCTAGTTGCCTTCAGGAAACGGAGAGCAAACATGACATGATTAATCCTGACAAAAAGATTCCATTTATAGAGCTAATCCTACTGTATCAACATCCATTAGTAGACACTAATGCATATGTTACCTCATACATGAAAATGTGGACAGCATCGCCCTCAATACAAAATATATGTTGACCCTGTGTCAAAAGGTCATGAAGACAATGATATGCTGGTTGTTTTCTGATTTTATATCTGAGTGAGACAATGAGGCAGTGTGCTGACCTCAGTTCTGCCTACCTACCTGAGTATGAGTACAGGGTGTTCTGCTGCCAGCTTGCGGCAGGCTACGTTGGCATCATCGGCCTTCTGCTTGCTTGTATCTCCCGGCTTGCTGTCTGCTAACACGCACAGTAACCTGGAGAGAAGAAATCCACAAGCAGATTATTGGAAATTTCATTGAAAGTGCTCCAGAATTGTAGCCAGATCCTCTCGAGTCTCCCGTTCATGTATTAAGCCATTCTAATGAAGTGGAGCAAAGGCACTACAATGTCGCTGTTCATCTCTAGTTACAGCTGATCAAGCTTGTGATTGACTTGTGACTTTGCAAGAGATGAACTCGTAATATTCTTTCAATAGTGGGTTTTGCCCTTCACTGATGTATTGGTATAATTATTTTTCACATCGGTGCCGAACAAAACCTAATTTTGAACTTACATCACCATGATGCAAATTCCATCTCATGAAAAATAATAGTCTTTTTTAAATATCCGAGTCATTCATTCGCCATCTGAATGCTGGTGAGCAGGGCAATTATTAGTTTCAAAACATTTTCAATGTCCGCCCCAGAAATTGATGACGTTTCTAATTAATTCTAAAAAAGTAAGTTTGGAGGATTTTTGAACTGGCTCAAACTTTAAGGTTACAATTTTTCTGGAGCCTAAATGAAGCCAAACCTCAGGAGAAGTCAAGATTTGAACAATACTTTTTAAGAAAGCACCTACCTGTGTGTGAGGCAGTCAACTGGGGTGGGTATATTACTTGTGTCTTGTGATTGTAGCTTGGTACTGATGAAGGAGAGATTCTGTATCGTCTCAGGGACCTGCAGGTATAGCTCTAGTAATAACTGCTGGTATAGGGCAGAGGACGGGCTGGAAAAGAAGGGAAAATACAAACTCAACTTGTTATTTCTTGTTTGATTTATGTTTGATGTTTAAGAAAAGTTAAATCCCAAACTTCAATGGCAAATTTGTCCAAAACTGGACCAGAAAATCCCGAACTCAAAAATGGTTTATTTTGGTTGATGTACAAGAACAAATCTAAAACCTACTTCATATATCACTTTTTTATCTCATCAGAGAAGTTAAATTCTACTTTTACAATGGTGATATTCTTGAAAAATATTAGAGAGCAAAAAAATCTACAAACTTTGTCTCGCGACTACAGTCGCCAAGGTATCTGATAAGGTGCTCGGCCACGCCCTTGTTGCCATGGAAACTGGTCAAGAGCAAGGAGAGCCGGGCTTTGATGGTGTTAGAGGCCAGTTCCGTCAGACCTTCATCTGCATCGGGTGGGGCACTGGGTGGGGCAATGGGTGGGGCACTGGGTGGGGCAATGGGTGGGGCATTGGGTGTGGCACTAGGCGGGGCACCGTACTGCCCTGATGAATCGGCCGCTTCCTGGATGATGTAATCAGCCAATGCGCAGATCTGGTCCGGCGACAGACATAAGACATCCTCTTCAGAGTGTCTCTAAGTTGGACCAAAAAACGTACAAATTATCGTGTTTTCTCAGTTTTTTCAGGGAGGTGTTCAATGCATGCTATGGAGTCTGCTTATATCTATTCCTTCGACAGTGACAAAGACAGATATGACAGACACTTGAAAATCATTGCCTTTGTAAGCTTGGATCCCTGACAGATACGCTATGGGGTTGCCTTCTGGTTTGCTTACCTTAGAAGCCCTTGTATCCCGTCCTTGCCAGATCTTGGGTATGTGGATGCACGCCCACAAGAAATCCAATACAGCCGTAGCACTGAAACTAATAAACAAAATGACACCAAGATGATCCATTTCAAAGCTCCACAATCAACTGAATTCATGCCATACGACCCATGTATGACCACAGAGCACAGCCAGAGATCGAAAGTGTTTTATTTTTCAAAATGTGCTAATTCTGTACGCAGAGAATCTTTAGAGTGTACATGCGTGCAGACAAAATTCCTTGTTAACCTGTGAAAATGTTAACCATAAGCACCAAATTTTCTGCCATAATTAGCAGGAAGTCTTAGCGTATGATAAGCAGGACCACGAAATCGAGCTCAGATTTGGTCAGAGCTTTGAGCTTTGATAAGAATCGCAAATGCCACAATGTTAAGGCAAAACTATATTTGAACTACTCACCTGTATGCATTTCTAGCAGGCCCCAGTAACCTATCAATGCACCTGTGTAGAGTCCCCCAGTTAGCTTGATGGGTCAGTAGCGCCAGTAGATACGCGCTACCAATTCGCTTCTGACTGTCTCCACTGCTGATGGGGCTGTTCCTGTTCCCAGGGGGTGCTGGGGCAAAGATGGCTTGCTGCTGTAAATCAGGGCAAGCCTGGCATGCCTCTGGATCCAGAAGAGCCAGCCAGTCAGTCAGGAGGCCGGAGGTAGAGGCGAGGAGTTGGGGATGACTGCAATAGGAGAAAAATAGTTAAGAGAAAGAATCAATATGTTTCTAATCAGAAAACTCAAAAATGAGCACAAAAGTATTCTCTTCAAGTTCCTAGCTGGTTTTGCCAGCAAAATATTCCAGGCACTACTGTCCTTTACCTAGAAGTCTGGGTACCAGACGTTGATGAGTGCTTCTGTTGCTGGTGCGTTAGTAGTCTGCTCAGCATGCCTACCCTCTGGCTGGCCTGTGAGGGCGCTCTTCTACCATGGCTAGCTGTCAGGCTGGTTGTCAGTAACTTCTCCATCTGGTTGGCGTTGCTGTCTAAGAGCTGCTTACAAACTGGAAAAATAGTCAAGAACGAGGAAAGTTTAAAGCTGAAAATCTTCCTAACTATGTCAAAAGTGTAATCCTTCAATTTCGACATTGAATTTTCTCCCTGTACAATAGTGATTTCTGCCCTGCCTGAGAGTTTGTAAAAAAAATCAAAAAAAGGGGTGGGGCTCTAACCCACGACCTCCAGCTTTTCACCATGTGCCACAATAATGATAGTAATAAGCTTGTGAATTTTTCTCTCCAAAGCTCTATAGATTAAGGTAAAGGTAACACCAGAAATTGAGAGTTTTTACCTTGCTCTAGTAGTTCATCGTTTGCAGGGGCTTGGCCATGTCTGAATGCCTTCACAACCTTCTCCATAGATTCCTGTTTGTTTCCTTGTGAATCCCCAGTCATCTCCTTCAGGGCTTGGTCGACTAGAAGAAAACAGAAATATAAAATTGTAAAAATGTTCATTTTCTTAATCCTAAGCATGTTTGGACCCCAGTCACTTGCCAAATCAAAACAGCATTCTCAGGTAATCTCAGATCTTTTAAAATCAACCAGAGAATTTAGAAGATGTTGTGGGATTCAGCCACTCAAACTCACCGTTGACATCTACAGAGCTGACACTGAGTTCCTTCTGGCAATGGATCAGAGTCTGTGCCAATGTGCCTTCCTTGGTAGGTAGCGCTTCACAAAGGTACTGCACCAGCTCAGGAAAAGTAGAAGGAGACCCATACTTCTGCTGAAGTTTCTAAACAAATACGTAAGCAAAATATTCAATTTACCATGGCGCTGCTTAACAGTTAGCAGCAAGTTGTGCTCACTATAGCAGAAAATTGTGCTAATCTTAAGCACTATGTCATGGTTGTGCACACATAGAGATTTCTATTGTTACATCACTGATTTCAGCAACTTTATCTTCCGAGTTAAGCGTCCTTTTGTTGTGTTTATGCTTCTGGTCTCCATGAGATAGATGGATGCTCTATTAGCAGAAAATCATGTGCTTAGCAGCGCCATGAAATTGGGCCATTGTTAATGGTAGGAGCTCTCAGTCCAAGGCTGGTTCCCACCTTAAGCTTGTTTGTGTAGTTGAGAATGCAACAGACAGGCCTGGGAACCAGCTAACATAACCCTCAGTGCTGGGCAACATTTTCCTGGTAGGCATGCATTAGTTCATAAGCATGGGGACCAGCTAAATTGATGTGCACTTCACTTGATGTGTCTGAATCACTTGACTACAGCCAAGAATAACACTCACACTTATGAAAGTCACTGGCTAGCGGCTGCAGCCTCTTCCCATAGACTCATGCATTATATCCAGCCATAGCCAATTGATTTGGACATGGCTTTATTCTAATTCTTAGGTTACAGAGCACCCTCGTTAGTTCACTAACGGATTTGTATGCTTAGCAACTCCATGATAATTGCTGCTTACCTCTCTCGTGAGTAGCAGACTGAGGAGAGGACTGCCGATGTCTGCCCGCATGGTAAGCTGACTTAGAAGGAGACTGCCATCCTTCACTATGCTTAGCAAACTGCTTGTTAGCATCTCAGAGGGTTTGTGTAGTGGATCTGTTCTCAGTCTCCGAATGTCCTTCAAAATCTCCTGAGTAGATGTAACATTGATAAGCAATTTGTTTCAAATGGGACAAATACGTTTTGTATTTTAAGCGACTTCAATCGCCAATCTGCGATTATTCAGTCAAGTGTGACAACATGTTACCATTGTTGATACATGCGTTAAGAAAAAAGGAAAAACGAAATGGTCTGCTTTGTCTCACCTGTTGTACGATAGCAAACACCTGTCGAGATTCCTCTGACGGCTCATTTTCAAATAACTGCAAGACACAAATGAGAAGTTGGATGTAACAAGATGTATATACATTGTATCAATTCATGCTCTTTGGTTTGTGATTCCACGTCTACTTACGATTGCACAAACCATTGCACACTTACTTGTTTCTGTAACTGTTCATTTTACCTTTTTACAAGTATTTAATCTAGTCCTTTATTTCAATTCTAATTTAAATTCTTACTTTTATCCTGATGTTTTGTTGATTATTTTCAGTGTTAAAATATCTTGTATTTTTTTATTTAATCACAGTTAGATTTGAATAAGCAAACAGACTGTTTTTTTTCTCATTTTGTTCAACAATTCAATGCCCACAAAAGGGCATTTGACATCAGAGAGATGAAGCCGAAGCCAAAGGCTCAGCCTAGATTTCAAAAATGGCTCAAGATGTCTTCAACATCTGAGCCTGTCCTACCTTGATGAGTAGCTTGCACCATTCCTCTTGGTGGTCTTCATCAGGCAATCTCATTGCCGACTCAGAAGTGTCCATCTTCTCCACAGATTCCTCCTTCTTACTCTCAACTTTGTCTACAAAAATTTTTAAAAATTAATTAAGTATGTTAAGGGTAACTGACCAAGTTGTGGTGTGGGCGGAGTGAGATGGTAGGTAAAAAAGGGGGTCGGTTGATAATCTAACCTTTGTCCTTGTCTGAGGGTTCCTCCACCCCTTCGGTCAGCAGTTTGTGGAACTCCACCCCTCCGGACGCCCCCCTCATCTGCTGGACTTCAACCAGCTGAGCCATGTAGGCCTTGTCCACTACCGCGTTTTCCATGGCTTGCGAGTCCTGCACGACTGCTGCATCCAGGTGAGCCAAGAGCTGACTGAGAGGCAGATAAACAAACAGACAAGGATGTCTTCATTACAGAATGTCAGGCAAAAATGATTCAAATCAGAGCAATGAAAACAGCTATCATTTGAGTTGGGCTGGGGGTGTCACCTCCCCCTCCCCCTACATTGTTACTGTTGTCTTAAAATGGCCATCATGGACATACCTCATGCTGGCTGTTGGAATACCAAACGACTGGATGAAGAGAACTAGCTGGGCTGGCTCCAGATCTTGCAAAGCTGCAGGAACAGAGAACATATTACGCAATAAATCTTGAATGTTTATAAGTAGGAAAAAAACATTTCGAGTGGCCAAAACGTGCCAAAGCAGCTATGCGGCGACAACGGTTGAGTCTGATCTAACTGCACATTAAGAATAAGTACGAGTGCTTTGCTCTCATGAATAGTCACAAAGTGTTTTCTGCTTTTCATTCACTGAATCCATTATGTCCATACCAGAGCTCTTTGAAATTTGAGAGACAACACACTATACCAACCTGCAATGACGAGTTCTGGCACACTGGAGCGGATCATCCTGAGTTTGAGCCAATCAGGAAGCAGCAAGGCATCCTCTGAGGTGTCTACTAGGTAGGCCTGGGGTGGGGTGCTATTCTCAGGGAACCAGGAGTGTAGCAAGAGCTGGAAATCACTGTCAACTAGAAGAGAAATAAACGTAGTGGATGTTAACCCATCCACTGTGTTAATTCCCTAATGAATTTGTAAGACCACAGAGTGTTGGGTGGTTTTTAGGAGGTACTGGGAGGGCAGTCTGGGGTGGTACTTCTGGTAAGCGTGTGATTGAAATAACTTGAAAGAAATCTTCCTACCTTTAGGTTGTCCGTAGGTCAGCAGTATGACCATAGCATGGACTATCAGGATATGCATAGTGGCTGATTCACCAGTCTGCCAGTACAGGAATACCTGGTCCTGGGTGTCCGACTGTCAAGTAAGAAAGAACAAGAACAACAAAATCAGTATTTTTTATTAATTTATTACAATTCTTTCTTGGTAATGACAACAAGACATCCTCGAAAGAGCATAAACATCATTGCTTGGAGGCCTGTATAAATCTAAAGAAAAATGATGATGTATGTTAGTTGTTCAGTTTTAAAGGTGGGAAGAACACTGGTATGAAAAAAAACCCCAAGGAATCTAGATCGGATTGAAATCCCAATCTAGAGGTGGGCCTGGCAGGAATTGAACCTGGGTCACGGAGAGTTGGAAAAAGGGAAGGTACTAGTGACTGCCCCCAGAGTCATACGAAAAATTAATCGGAAAATACACCACCACTACTTAGCCTTTTTTGTTATTGCAAGATCTCAGGAAAATTACTTCAAATAAAACTGATGGTCAGCGTAGGTTTTAGTTTAAACTATAGAACTTTTTACCCAGCTATATCCTTCCTCGTTAGGCTTGGTAGCCTTGAGCAAGTAGCGGCTGAATATTTTGATCATAGCTGCCAAGGTGACGTCAGCTACTTCGTTGTAGGTCTCGCGAGGTAGGATGCAAGATACGATGGTTGGTCGCTCCACTATCAACTGGGCAAGATCCTGGTATTAATAATACTTGGTATTAGTAATAATTTAGAAATGTGGTAATCATAATTATAGTGCTTCATACCCGAGTCTCAAAGTATTCTATAATTATTGCCCCTGTTCATCAGGCCAGGAGACTAGATTTATGCAGCAGCTTAAGATAACCATCACGTAATCTGTGCCCTCTCAGGTATCCATTTATTCTCCTGAATGGAAAGTGGTAATTGTAGTAAAGTGTCTTGCCTAAGAACACAGACGCCATGTTTCCTGTCAGGGATAGAAACCACACACTACTAGTGGGACACTGCAACCATTGGACCATTCATATTTTTGTCAAGAAAACAACACACCAACAAATTTTCCAGATCACTGTGCATTAACAATTTTGTATACGTAAAACCATTGGTCACACCTTTTCTGACGAGACACAAACAGTAAAAGAACAAATTGGACAGAAGATATCACAGACTCACCACTGCCAAGTCGTTCAGATCACTGACTGGAGCAAACTGCGACAGAAAAACGACGTAGGCACTGAGTGCTAACGGGTCCGTCTCAATCTGGCAAGCCTGGGGATAAGAAACAAAACAAAAGTTGTGGCATCATTAGAAGGGGTGCTCATACAATTAGCCTCTGTTCTGATGACGTCACACTGTGTTTACATGTGCACTTTCCTATGGAGCCAGTGGGGGCCCACGGTCCACTGAGCACCATAGGAAAGCACACACGTAAACAAAGTGTGACGTCATCAGTACAGAGGCTTATTGCCTGACAAAATTAGGGATGGGGATGGGGATGGGGTTGGGGTGGAGTTGGGGGAGGGTGGGTGTGGGAGTGGGGTAGAGGTGAGGCTTAGGTATCTGGAGTGGAAAGTTTAATGCTGAAAATATCCTACCTGTCTGAGGGCAGTAGTGGCTGATGCCCTGACAGGGTCAAAGTGAGGGAGGGAGGGCATATTCTTCAACAGCCATTCATGTGATGCCATCAGTGTAGGGCATGCCCAGGGTGGGTCTTCCGTTTCCATGTCTTCCTCCATTGTGTTTTTATCCTCAGGCACGGACAAGACCATCATCAGACCCTTTGTGAGAAACAAAATAACAATGCTCAGTAGCTCCAACTCCCGAGGTATTTTTTAAACTTTCCTTAATACTTCAAAATCAATCATTTTGCTGACCCAATGGCACATTTCATGCATTTCAGAGGCCTTAAGACCCAGGTAAAACAACAGTTGATTGGCTCTATCATTTTAAATTATCCAATCAAAACTACTGTTACTCAAACTTTGGCTGCATTCTGTTAAGTACAGCTGTTTCCTGTGCAATTCGAAAGTTATTCAAAAATGTGACTTTTATTCCCCCACCTAAAAAAAACAAAATCCAGCAATGTTTATACAATTTGTGTTGAAACATGTTCAAGACATCGGGCCAAACTTTTTGAGGCTTGGCATTGGAAAGGCGTGCAGAAATCAGGAGAAATCTACAGGGGTTTAAGGGTCATCAGCAACTTCTCGTTTGACGTGTTGTATTTTGGCTGTATTTGACAGGAGATGAGTTAGTGATGGGCTTTACTGCAACCTCTGTTTCGAATCAAAGTGTGAAAGTGACAGTCAAAGACCTCTTTTCAGTCTTACCTTAGCAGCCAGTGAGCGACTGGCTTGCTGCTGTGAACTGAGTCGTCTCAGGAAGTAATCCATGACTTCACAGCAGGTAGATGCTTGAGAGTCTGGTCCACGTACGAGGGTCTGAAGACGTGACAGTAACTGCTCCTGCTTGTCAATACGCTAATCATAATAAAAAAATAATAACAGAAGCCTTCTTGAAAAGTGTCAGGTTCATGCATCATGCAGCCACTCTCACCCAATAAACAGACATGGTGAACCCCTGCTCTTCAATGATACGATAGGACGCGTTTGTCTTATGATTGTTTTGAACCCTAAACCTTCCAACAGCAGTTCCAGTGGCTCAATCCATCCTACCATTTCCTCTTGGCTTTTTCCTCCCCGGTTTGAACCCCCAACCATCTGTTTGCAGTTCCAGCAGCTCAACCTACACTGCCATTTTCTCGTAGGTTCTCCCATCTTGATTTCGAACCTCGAACCTCCTGATTGCAGGTTTAGCAGCCATAGGAACACTTTGGCTGATTTCCTCTTTGATTCTGTCAGACTGCAGTTTATAAAGCCCCACCCAATCTACCACTTCCTCATAGCTTCTCCCTTCTTGGTTCCGAACCCCAAACCACCCGATTGCAGTTCCAGCAGCTCCATCCACCCTACCTGTTTTCTCTTGGCATCTCCTTTCTTACTCTCCTCTCCAGCGTCACTGTCTTGGTTGTCATTCAGCAGGAACTCACAGAGACACTGCACCGGCAAAACATCCAGAGAACCTTCAGCAGAGTTGACCAGTTCGGCTAGCCAGGGCATGGACTGTGACGTACCCTGTCCAATGAAAGAAAACAGTCCCATTGAAAGGTATCCAGTTGTCTCGGGTCCAAATCCCACTTCTGACAATTTTATTTTTGTTCAACTCAAAACAAGTTTAAAGGAGCTTAGAAGTTCCGTCTTGCAGTTGTTTATCAAATTAAACATGGACATTTTGATTGTCTCAACAATGTAGTTGGTAGTCTGTACCTGTCTCTGTATGATATCCAATAGGAAGTCAGGGGACCGGCTTCGGCAGAGCATGTGACCGAGATTCAAAACTTTATTGAAGTGTTGGAGTTGCTCCAGCACCTGAGCAGGGGGGCGCCTGGCTATACCGCTGGAGATATGATTGAACAAAAAAAATCAATTAATAATCAATTACTGATAAGTCATAATCAATGATTAATTTATAAATAATCCAGACAGTCATCTGTCCTTTGTTTATGTGAAGCACAAAACAAACGTGTTTGGCAGCCTCGTAGATAACAAGTATTGTGATTCCCAGTAAACATTCTGTTTCAAAGATTGCACAGAATGGTGAATTAAGTCTGGAATTTAGTGGTTTCTGAAACATGAAATTAGGCCCAGTCTTTTCTTATTTGTGCGATGACTTACTTAGGGTCCATACGTATGACCTGTGACAGGAGTAGGCTGTTAGCCTCGGTGATGGCCACTCTCGCTAAGTGGTTCTCAAACTCCAAGATCTCTTGCTTCTCAAGCGCAATCACCTACAACAGAGGACAAAAACCCAACGCATCATGGAACGTGGTCTAGTGAACACAAACTGATCAAAGCTTTATTGTTTGAAAAGCTTACGAACAATAGACATCTGTTTTGCGTGTGCTAGATCTCATTGATAAACCAAAGCAAACATAAGGAAGGTGTGTGCATATTCAAATGTTTGTAAGACAGGAATGTCCCTGTGTGGATAAATGAAGAACAAGTCTAGTAATGCTGGTCCCACACCAATTTGGTAGTAGAGGTCTAGGTAGTCATCTGAGCCCATCTTTTTTGGGCCAAGGCCAGACTTGAGCAACTCTAGTTCAGAAGTGACAGTGACAGTCAGTCAGTCAGGTACAATAAAGCCATGAAATGCACTGAATTATGTTGAGGACTTTTAACAATGACAAGCACAGAGCTTATGTGAAATCACTCTGTGGTGACAGTTCTGAGGTTTGTGCGAGTTCTGACCTGCAGCTCCCTTGTTCTGACTTCCTCCTGTGAACGTTCGTCGGGGGCTGCTGTAGGGGGAGGGTACTTGAAATTGCTGCCAGAGGAAAAGAAAACAAAAAGACACAATAGGGCTGAGTGATGACAGATTGCAAAATGCATCAATGCATGTGTCCTCTGATGCGTTCTTGAAGCCAGACAGGGTGTACGAAAAAGAATCCTCTTGTTGGACTTGGAGAACAACACATAGCAATTGACATAAAATTATTTGCATGTCAATGCAGCAAAAATAGCTTGACTTCATTGTTTCTCTTTATGAATGATTAATTTACTTACTTTGTCATGACCATCTCCATGAAACAGCGCAGCATTGGATACCGTTCCCATGCCGACAGACCTAACGATATCAAAGCAAACAAGGCATGCTCAACAAATCTAAAATCAGTGAATCTAAAATCAACAAATCTAAAATCAGTGAATATAAAATTCTTGTTCTCCATCTTTTGGGTCTACTAAATATTCTTCGGCTTTCAATTTCACACAGATGATTAAAGAGAATCTGTCAAGGGCAGAAAAGTACGGGAAGAGGAAAACCATTTGTTTGACCTCTGAAAGTAACCAGATTTGAAAGAAAAATAGTAGGAACAAAACAATTCACAGACAACTGGCCTCACCTATGTTGGTTGGATTGAATGCAGTGATGACAACCAATAAGATCCAGCCTTTCCAGTAGAGATTTGAAATGGCCAGACTAGGTGGTGAGTATCTGTGCAAATACAACAAAATTATTGTCAAAGGTAAACCAAAATCACACAGTCAAGTTGCCTAAGGGAATATTTTAAAACTTGGAATGTTTGGATTTTTCTAAGAGGAATATTCGTTTTTCTTTTTAAATTCCACCTTGGGTGATCTTTGGCCCTGTAATTGGCAATTTTCAAGGAAACAAAATTTCAAAATTGCTTGTTTTTTCATAGGTATTTAGGACGTGCATACCCCTGCGGAAGCTGGATGTTTTCAGGGTGATGGTAGGCACACAGGTTCAGCACTGCGTCAATTAACTGGATCCTCTCAACTTTCAGTACTGGAAAATCTATGAGAATGAGAAAAATAGAAACAGTGTTACAGGATTTGAAAAAAAAATTAGTCGGCAGACCCAACTTTGATCTCGGGATTTTGTGCCCCTCAGTTTTGTTTTGTCTTAGAGTATACAAAGCGATGACTGGAAGTCGGTGTTGTAGACAAGGTTCTTGAGATGGATAAGTTCATCACAAGTCCATCTGAAGTCTTCCAGTCCCAAGTCAACTCACAAGCTATTCAAATGAACGGTGACAAAGACATTTCTTTGTTCTGGTTCATCCCCTGTTACTTGGTTGTATGGTTGTGATCCATCACAAGTACCTTGAACATAACACTGTTGGTTTCAGGGTAGTGTGAGAAGGCTATCAACTTTAAAGTAAAAACCTGCTTGGAACCCACGGACCTAGTTCAGGGAACCCATCTGTCTTCTGTAAGTTTATGAACTACTGACCTTCAGCATACAGCACTGCAGCTCTCTTGACTAACTTGTCCGCTAGCTCCAAGCCATCTGCGGCTGTTAATGGTAGCTCACGTGATAAGCCCATCACTAGGACCCTCATCAATGTATCCTCCTGAACAGGCACCTCTGAGAGGAGGGACAGCAGCAACCTGTAACAGATATTGGAGTAAAGAAGATCATGGACTATGATTACGGAGACAGCAACTAGGCAACCACTGTATCATCTAGAGATTCCCTATCAAATACTTATGTTAAACATACAGTACTTCAGCTTCTGCACAACAGTGGATTTTGAAGGACTTAGAAAGGTCCTTGTAGAAAAAATCTGAGGCTATGAAGGTTGAGAAATGACTGTGTTGATTACTTACGATCTGTCGGACTCTGGTGGCCAGTTATCTTTGCTGCAGTATGATTCAGACGGCTCCATGAACAGCACTTTCTGCAAACTACAAAGCATACAGAAAGAAGCACATGATTACTCAATCTGATGCAGGTTGAACAACTGAGCACTTCAGAAACTGATTCTGTACATCAATTTTATTCAGTTATTTTGGATCTAAAGACTAGGAGCCAGTTTTACGGATCTGCTCAGCATTGAGTTCTACGGATATCTTACCATTGATTGAAGTCTTGTTGGTTGACTTTGAACATTTTAGGCGCCACGGTGTGCAGCCACCATACTGCATCTCTCTGCATGACGGAGGCCTGGTTCTGGAAGGCTCTCAGTACATCCATGTCTGTGTTAAGAAAAAATAGAGATCTTAGATCTGAGTCAAAACATTTCCTAATCTTTGATCTTGGGATACCTTTCCTAAACTTTGATCTCAGTGACAAACCTTTCCTAATCTTTCACCTCAGCAACATACCATTCCTGATCTTTGTTTCCAGCAACATGCCTTTCCTGAACTTTCATCTCAGCGGCATACCCTTCCTGATCTGTCATCTCAGCGACATACCTTTCCTGATCTTTTATCTCAGGAACATACTTTTCCTGATCTTTTATCTCAGCAACATACCTTTCCTGATCTTTGATCTCAGCGACATACCTTTCCTGATCTTTCATCTCAGCGACATACCTTTCCTGATCTTTTATCTCAGCCACATACCTTTCCTGTCACCCCTGGTGTATGCTGCCACAGCCTCTTTTATTGCTGGGCTGACGCTAAGAAGAGCAGCTAACACAATCAGGTCAGTCAGGGAAAGCAGCATACGATCCTTGACAACAACAAAAGTCAGTACAAAAATTGTTTTAATGTAAAATATACTTGAAACACAATGAAGGAATGGGTTGGGTATATCAAAAGGTGACTACCCAGGAATCTCACTCAAAGGATAATCAGAAAGTTCACAAAGGGATTGGCTAAGAGATCTTGAAACGGGGATGGCTCAGTTATCTAAGAGTCAAGTAAATGTACCTTGAATTGGGCCTCCATGTCAATGAACTGTTTGTCAGTTCTTTCCTTCATCAGGCCCCTGCAGAACGCTGGGAAGTCTAGGTCATAACGTAACGATTTGACAATCTCTCGAAACAGCGCCCTCACAGCTCGTAGATAGTCGTCTCTGTTCATCAGCAGGTCTTGGAATACATTGGCCAAAAACTTCAAGGAAAAAACACAAAACAACAGGCGTAATTGGAACATTGTTCAAAAAGTAAACAGAACAGATTTTTTCCAAATAATTGTATTGGTATCACCACAAAAACAACTTTTACCAATTTAATTTAACAATTTTTCATTTGGACTTCAGACTTATGTACATGGGTAGCAATATTGGCATAAAAGAATTTTTGGAAGACTAAAAAGTGGAAAGTGCATTAAGTGCATTTTTTCCAAAATAGTTTACTTTCAAGTTCCATAATTTCTAAGAACTGCAGGGATAAGCTGGACATAAAATGAGGGTTTTTTTTTTTTTGGTGAGGAGAGGTTACATTTTGGCATTTTGTGTCTTCACATGCAGTCTCAGCTCCCTCCACACTATGCCCCACCCACCACCTACCTTGGCTGATGCCTCCGGTGAATGCTGGAAGATAGTTGCCAGTAGAGGCATGTTGTTGGGATTGCGTGAGTTAGACAACTCGTTGTAGATGGTGTGCTTCAGAAGGGTGGACAGGTTGTCAGAATGCTGGTTTAATAACTCCCTGTGAAGACAAGTTACCAGATCAAGAAATATTAGCTCATTGTGCAAGTCTGGCAAAACCTTGATATGTTGGATTTGAACTGACTAGTCCAATGAAAGTCTGATCGTTGAGGTGAGAAACACTCCAGTTCTAGCCACTTATAAGATTGTCCTAACTGACTCAGATATAGGGTCAGGGAACAGCAATCGATTCATTGTCCTAATGACCTCTGATGCAGGTCAACATTACTCTTGAGAACTATGCTAATTACAATTGGAGCTTAGGAACTCAAAGGAAGCTTGCAGGCAATTGTCTCTCCTCATATGTGTGAGATCAGGTTTTAAGTCTAACACCAATGCAAGTTTAACAATGTTAGCAGAGACTTCTATGCATACTTACTTCATGCTGAGCATGTAGTGATTAATGAGAGGCTTGGTCTTGAGACGAATCTTAATGAGATGACCTATGACCTCTACATCCTCCTGGCCGTGGGTGTCGCAGTTCAGACAGACTGCCATCAGGAGCTCCTGGGCAGGCCGCGTCAGCTGCAAAGGACACAGAAAATTGACAGAGGTGAGATTCGAACCAGTAACAACTTTTTCTTTAGAATCCTGTGTTTGTGGTGATCATTTAAAAGAGGATACCGATTTTGTTTGATTTCATATCAGCAAATAAGCAGCCGTGTGATCAAATTTTCAGTAGAAGAAAAAAAAATCAACTGAAGCAGGATTAGAACCTGTCACCTAGGGAATAATGTACCGGTGCTCTACCAACTCAGTTAACCAGCTCTGCCAGGTGAGACATCAAGCACAATGTTGGCATTCAGCAAATTGGTTAATGTCTTTGAATGGAATTACCCGATCAGATTGACCATTGAAGTGATGTGAATGAGTACACAGAAGTTTTTTCTGTTCCGCATTTGTATTTACAGCTTGCTGCTCAACAATGGAAATGTGTTTTGCTAGTGACTGTAAACATATGCCAATGTTACTTATGCTTTTAGTTTCTACAAGTTCCAAAACAAGTTTTCATCCATAAAATTGGCAGAGGCAATCACCATGCTGAAATGAGTATACCGAAGCCGAGTTTTTGCTGTTGAGCATTTGTATTAATTTTTGCTTAAACCTGTCTTACTTGCAGTTTCTACAAGTTCCCAAATGAAAAATTTAAAAAAATAATCCAAGACCACCAGCATTTTGTACAGAATGGCTGCCATTTTGACTGGTGCATCAACTCCTCGTTGTGAAAATGTCTCTAATTAGTATTCCTCACAAAGCTCTACTGTCTAACCTTAGGGTTCTGCAGCCACATCTCTAGTCTCGTCGCTGCTAGGAGTCGGACCTCAGGAAAGCCGCATGCCGCAGTCAAGACGCGCAGCAGGTTCCTTGGAGTGTCCATTCCCTGCCGTCGTGTCAGCTGGTCACGAACAAAGTCTACCACGTATGTCTCTATGCTGTCCTTCAGAAGACTATATCTGTTTTAAAAGGTCCATGAAATGAATTTTACTTGGGAACATATTTTGTGCAAATTTCTACTCCTCTTAAATGTATGAAAACTACTTGACATCCCCTTATTGGTTGATCCTGGTAAAAAGTGCACTTCTTTAAACGATTAAAATTGTCCATGCTTTTCCTGACAAATGAGGGTGCTGTTGCTGTGATGTCATTTCAGGAAGACACTGTTCAGTTTCGGGGTTTTCTGTTCAAATTGTGAACCCAAACTTTGCTCAATGAAAACATTTGTGAGAAAGCTTTGCTCACTGGCCTGTCATGTACTGAAACATCAACGAATCACCCAAAAAAAATATCCAAAATTCTGGAAAATGTTGGTGCTGAAATAGCAGTTACTTTGAGGTTTCTACCTGAAATCACTTTTGCTCATGAATATGCAAATTTGCATTAGTATAAACATGCCCTTAAAATGGCCAGATAAAAATCTTTTTGAAAGGGCCTTTTAATAAAAGAAAATAGGAGAAATTAAAGCTGAAAAATGTTATGGAGATGTTAAGGTATTGTGAATTGTTCATATTGTGCCGGCTCAGCCATACCTTGCAGTCACCCCCTCGGCTTGTACGTCTGCAGTCAAATCCATGTCCTCACTCGTTTGGTTGGCAGCTGACTCTGAAGACAGATCGCTGTCGTCCCGGAGTGGACTTCCACCTGAGCAAATCAAAGCAAGGTTTAGCCCATCACCAACATTATGCTCAGTATAATAGCTGCACTTACTTGGGTGGGACTCAAACCTCTAACTTACTGCTGCAGACTTGTTGCCACTCAACCATCGAGCTGGTTCAAATCCAAAATAGCAAGGATATCGCATTCAAAAACTGTTGGTGAATTTTCAGGTTGATGTAAAATTAGGTTCTGTCCGTCACTGATGTGATGTTATAGCATCTGGGGAGTGCTTGACAAGATGTCTGCGTTTGTAAGCAGGAGGTTAGTGTCACCTGAGTAGGTCTATACCCCGTTGACACAGTAAAGTTGAGAGAGAGGATGTACATGCATACTATGCCACTTCAATTCGACTCTTTTAATACCTCAGCACACACTAACATGACTGAGTCACTGTGTTTAATGAGCAGCATTGATCTGATACACTGTGCCCTCTGGAGACATGCACACAATAGGGAACAAAAGATTGTATACGTCTCCACAGAACAATTTCTATAGATGAATATGTCTCCACAAGGTTTTCACGAAATAGATATATGGATTTTACTCAAAACTAGGAATTTTCAAGGTGGCTTGATCTGTCGCAAATGGTCGAGTTTTAGAAAAGGGATATTAAGTCCGAATTTCAGCCAAGGAATTTAATTCTGGTCAAAATAAGAGTATTTTGAAACTGTACTTTCAAACTCGAAAACTTTAGTACAGGAGAACAACGAAAAATGTCTCCACAAGGATACAAATTTCAGTATGCGTGCTTTTGCTCAAAGTGTTTGCCCAGACTAAATAGCGCAATCCTATTGTGTCCACCACATTGTGTCCACCTATGTGGCGATTTGGTGCCAATTTTTGGTAGGTACATCTGGAAAGCTTACTTTGGAGATCGGGAGTGCTGGTGGAATGGCGTAGCTGGTCGATGGGCAGCATGAGGTGACGAGGTGGCATCTTGGTGCCAAACGCTGTCTGGATGTTACTGCAGAACTCACGACAGCTGGGATGGTCTACCCAAACCCTCTCCCCCATGGCGTCTTCGAGGAAGACCTGTGAGGAAACAAAGGAAAAATAGCAGGGGGGGGGGAAGGGGGGATCATAAAACTTCAAAATATTAAGTTTGTAATCTTTAAATTAGTAATCTTTCCCCGATTTTGCAGTCTGGAAATTGGATGAAAGGTCCGAGTGACGCATTTCTTTCTAAACAAAAATCTAAAAAATCCCATGCCTGTTTATTGCCACTTAAGCCTATACTTTTGCCTTGTTCAGCTGGACTTGAACATTTCACAGCTTTTGACAATATTTATACTCAGTGACTCAGTCAATCAGTCAGCCAGATCTCAGACAGTCAGAGGACAGTAAGCTGGCTCTTGTGGTTCAGCAAAAATCAAAGTCCTGCCCTCTTTCCAAAAGGTAATTTTGCTTATTCAACAGGATAAAACATAAAAAAAGTGAATTTCTGTTGTCTTATAGCCTGGGACTCACCTTGACAAATGCTATGGGCCAGTTATCCTCATAGAGATAGGCATGCATGAGGAGGTTACAGGCTAGCACGGAGACCAGAGGGTTGCCTTTACTCTTGAAGCTCAAGCTGATGTCTCTTTTGAGCAGGCTGCAGACGTACTGGAATGCAAACACAAGGAAATGGGTCGTTACAAGCCCATCGTGATCACTAAGTTTAATATTTAATGAGATGACTTCTTTGGTCCATCACATTTGATTATCATGGCATTCTCTGACGTCTTACATCCACAACGTCTTCCGATTCAAACAGCATGGGTTTGATCTTGGCCAGGTACATCAAGCTGAGGTACAGCTGCGATCCAGGCTTGGCCCGAGTGCTCTTCAGTGTCTTGAGGGCGCCACACAGCAGTCCGTCGATGCGGTCGTCATCTTCTGCCCCGTCAGCATCTAGGACTTGATCTAAGAGCTCTGAGGCTGGCACTGTCGGGCAAAAAATAGAGCATGTAAATATTCAACTCAAAAAGTTGAGGGGTGTGGGGAGCTGGAGGCTGGGACATACATCCACAAAATAAATTCCCAGTTTACACCCCACCATTCTATTCTCCGCCTCCCCCAACCACAAGAAACTATGTTGCAAATTTTAGAGGTCTGTGACTCAACAGAAAATGCCCGTAACTCCCTCCCTCCTTCCTCAATTCTAGTGTCCAACAGTCAAACTTATGTTAAAGTTCGCCTCAGTTCTACCGGAAATCGACTTTTAAGAGAAAGAAAAATTGGCTACAATTGAGTTTTGAATCCTCAGGCAAACTGAGTCACCATTCTTATTGTGATTAAGAATTTGTCTCCACATCTGAATGCCTTATATGAAACATGCAGTGATATTCTGCTGTATTTGATATTGGCCTAACGCTGCCTCCTTGTTAAATATAGTTAACAAAAACAAGGAGATCAAATAGAAGCATATTTAATGCTAAGAAAGTTTGCCTGTCTCTCACCTTCGATTGTCTTGATGCCTGGCTTGATGACATGCTCTCCAGCCCCTCCTTTGCTGCTCTCAGGCACCCCCCGACCCAGAGGGGTGAAGGTCTGGCCAGAGACCTTGGCAATCTTGTGAGGAGGTCCAGCCGAGGTGGTTGGGGCTTCCCTCTTCCATTCTGGGTTGGCGCGGAGCTCCGAGCCATCTTGCCCTCCTCCTGGGCGGGACTTGGCCCCAAGAGCGATAATCTCGCCTGCCGGTAGGACTGGCCAAAAAGAGAAAAAGGGAAAATATTCAACCTGGACATCAAAGTTGTTTAGAGAGCATGGTGTTCATAGTCCTAGTTGTAATGACAAGCATGACATATCGAGATGATCATGGCATTAATTAGCAGTGCATCCTGCATTCTAGATTGAGGTCACACAAGAGCCTGAGCTTACTATTAGTTAAGGCAAAACAAAGTGTGAAAAGCCTTTTTTTTATATACCAAAAGGTCTGGAATGTGATAAGTCTTAGACAGCATCCCTCCACTCTTGTTCAGATTAAAGTGCCTAAAGTTTATAGGCAGAATCTGGCATCTATTCTTAAGACTTAAGTTAAGCGCTATTCTTATTCATGTAAATTGTCTTACTTGTCTTAGTCTCTTATTTTTCATTTTATCTCACCTTCAAATCTTTCAAAAACTAAATCACAAGCTATTTCAGATGAGCTCAATAACAAAAGAAGGGCATCTACATCCAAGGGTGCTGGGTCCTAAAACTAAACACGGGGTTGCTTTCTTAGCCCCATAAATGTGGCTGAAATACTGGACTAGGCCTACCACCATATTATCAGCCACAAAACCTATGAAAGGTCCCGTTGCTAGGGAGAACAGACAATCAAATGTAATTTCATGTTAGAATTTACGCTAATGTGTGCAAATGAAGGGTCGTACTAAATAAGCGTCAACACAGTGACAACACATTCTAGAAGCGTCAACACAACGTCAACGCTTCCAAAACGCATTCTACATTGACAAAAAAGGCATAGAACAGAGATTTTAGGTGGGTCAGGGGTTACATTTCGTTTACAGAAATGGAGATTTTTCTCGCGAAAAAAATATGTCTAAGCAGCACGGCCGTTGTCCCCTATGAAAATTGCAATTTTCAGATGTTTGACCTATTGATTTTAAGCCACAATTTCATTTTTGCCCATACTGTTCAGTTGAACACTGGTTTTGTCATTTGAATGCGTTTTGGAGGTGTGTTGACGCTTCCGTGTGTTGACGCTGTGTTGACACTGATTAGTATGACCGCAAATGAACCTTGAAATTACACGAAAATATACGTCTGAAAAAGGGGGGACTAATATTTTATCACTTTAAAGAGGGCGAGTGTGTTCCTAAGCATAAATAAACTACAGACAAAGTGTAAAAATAAAAACTTGACAAAGTTCTACACTTTCGGCAGTTCGGGTACATCATGTTCCCAGTGTGGCCTTTATTTTACGGAGGTAGTCCAGTTAATTGGCCACAAGGGGCTCAGTAATGTGGTATCGAGGAAAGCACTATCTTTGAATTCCGCATCTCTGTGATAAATTATCACGGTAACGCGGTATTCAAGCTCCCGTAGCTGAGTGAGGAGGGCCAACGAATTTGTAAATACGGTAACGAAACATAAAACTGGACGATAGAGGGCGTTATTGTTTAGTTTCAGCAGATTCCTAATTTCGTTGCAACAATCGGAATAATCACTCAGACGACAAAAACAACTGCTATAATATCTAAATTTCCGTCACATACAAATGTTAATTAACGAAATAAGAACTACAGTCATACTTCTCCTTCCTGGCAGTTTCTTTCCAAGTTGTTTGTTTCTTTCCATCTCGGTAGTTCAGGCCACAAGCGGCAAAAAATACTTCGGACTCAAACTGCACAGACAGCGCATATCGGAGTCGCCATGTTGAGTGCACATTTTGCGAGCGCGATCAGCAGACCACAGAGGGCGCTGTAGCCAGGCCCGTAGCCATAGGTGATGTGTCCGAAAACGAACTTAATTTGACTTTTTATAAGTTATTATTGATAGCACTAACAGGCTTTCATGCTGTGCAAAGAATCTGAACATGTCTTAAAATATGACATGTAAAAAATGGGTACAAAAATAGTGTTTAAATGCTAAGCACCACTTTTACACTACAGTGTGCTTTATATTGTAAAGTTGCCATCACATGCACAGTGCAATGCCTCAGGTTTACTACTCACGGGTACAGTACATACACTCGTCGTAATAATAACATGTCTTTACAAGTCATGCCAATATTTGCATATTAATGTTGCAATTATGATGGAGAAGCCACAGATCCCTTGCAATAACTTGTATACACTCCATAGCCAAGCCCCAAACTAGTTCCATAAAATTACAACCAGCTGAAAGCACGTTGTAATAGTTGGCCGTGACCTCCGTGGATCAATGCAGGATTCTTTAAAGGGGCTTGCGGCCGCTGCCGAAGTAAATATGAGCGTGATGGGCTGTTAATTAATAACCGTCTGATATTTTATACACAAACCCCCAGTGTAGGGTCGTTTTGCATAGAAACTTTTACGACAATGTGAATGAGTGAAGAAAATTATGATAGTGGCTCAGTGCACGGTAAGCTAATAGCCCCATGTCTGACCCCCTAATAGCCATTTATGATGGCCGACTGCAGCGCAGCCGATCCTTTGCACATTGATACCACACATTCAACAGTCTGCATTCAACAGCTGCAAACCGTGACACTATATGTCCATTAACTGAATGGGTCCTGAGTTATTATTCATACCAGTTATTCAAAACGGAAAAAAATAACAAACCATAACTAGAGGTTGTAGGAACAACCACACGGTGTTGGGCCATGGATTACCGCAAACTTTGCCACACACATCAACTCAAAATATGCATGTTTAAATCCATGTTTGACTTTTCAACATGCCGTCAGAAGGCGCTCTAACATTTGATGACGTCACCTGTAAATTTTTTGTACAGTACTGCCTAGGCAGACACTCGAATCGTTGAAAGCAAGTTCGCATCTTCTGCCAATTTCAATTAATAAGGCACTTCCGGTTTTGACCGGATGGAAGGGTCACGTGATTTTGCACTTCAAACCAAAAATGAAGACCCTGCAATATTTTATCGATTGCCATAAAAAACAAAATCAAATCTGTAGCAGTTGATTTTATATTGATTTTCAAAGATTAAATATGGAAATATTTATTTGCTAGTAATATGACACTTGATGACGTCATTGTGACGTCATCGCCAGAAACCTCCAGAGCTATATTTACTCTGCTATACATAGCCACATCTTGATTATATCTGTCACGGTTGATTTTTTAGCAATTGTTTAAGGTTTAAATGTCTTTTTTTTTTATAACTTCCGGTCTGATGACGTCATCCAAAAACCAGGGAGTTGATCCTTGGCTATATTTTCACAATTCCACCGTTTTTTAAGCCAAACGGTCTCCGTTTTCAAAAGAAACTGTGGGGTCACTTTTTATGCTAATCAGCTCGCGTAGAAATTCTCACTTGAATTAGTTCACTGCATCCTGAGGGACGTCCTTCCGTATACACCACGTACCGTCGCTTTGCTCACGAAGTGACAAAAACCTCGAAAATCGATAATTATTCGATTTTGAGTTTTACTAGCCATTTTATTATAGTTGTCTCAAGGAACAATTTGACCAAAGTTCAAGGCAAAATATTGTTTACTTTCTTAATTATTGTAAACAAACAATTGACAAAGAGCCTGAAATCGGTGATTTTAATTTTCACCAAGTGTAAAAATGTGTAAAATGTTCACACGAAGTGGCAAAAAGTCACTTCGTGAGCAGGGCCAGAAATTATACAATGTTCTACACGCGGAAGGATGGGAGCATACACGCGCACGCAAACGATGTTGAAAAAGAACAGACGCGCGCGCGCTCAACTGTCGTGACGCGCAAAAGTAACAAGTTTGTTGCGTCGAAAAAATCCCACGAAGTGACAAAAACTGTGTACAAAGTAATTGGCAAAATATGGGACCCAAAGTTTAGATGTTTTCACGAAGTGCAAAAAAGTTTTATTAATGAATTACAGTTTAATTACGAACTATTTTTAACAAACAACTATGAATTAACAAAGAGCAAATCATATCCTATCGGACAATGCAAAAATTTCCGAATTCTGTTACTGCAAAGTGGTCGAAAATGTCTTTTGAAAAAATAAATAACTTCAAATGCGATTATCTCAGAATGAACTTTCATTTGTCGAATTTTTAGGTTTTTGTCACTTCGTGAGCAAAGCGGTGCAAGATGTATTACATCTAGCAAGCACGGCAGTCTTTGTGTAACTTTTTTTGGAGTTTCAACGATCCGTTCACATATATTTTGTCACGAACGTGTACATAAAGCAACCTTGGCACTTTATCGCATTGCTGCACAATGACGACAATCGAACATATGGCCAGGTTCGCGCAAGGACTATAGTTGACCAATGGTTAACTAACGTTTGCCCGAACTCTGTCTAGTCGACGGTGGTTGACTACGCTAGTCGACTATTTGGAACCAGCCTACTGGGGTTGGTTGCTTCGCTGGTAACCAATAGCCGCGCGCATTCATAACGCTAGCAGAAAGCCAGGATCCAGAAGTTTTGCGATGACAATTTGACCAGCGTTTGACTAGCCTTGTTCAATGCGGTCTCTCGGCTTTTTGTCGAAGGGAGATAATCGGGCCCTGCACCCACAATCAACGCGGCTACGTGCGTGTACGACCCTTGTCCGTACGAACGGCTAACACAACCAGCAAGCACACACACGTGAGTACGGACTGTACGCATGGTGTAATATTAAAGGCAGTAAATGTAGGCCTACTGTGTTCTGCGTGTGGGTGTACGTACGTACGTGTGGGGGATATACGCGCCGCGTTGGGTTACGCGGACTAGCTCATGCATGTACTGTGTGTGCATGGCTGTTGTACGAGTACGTGTGTGTACGTGCGTACGTGCAAGCATAGCCTCGCTGTATGGTACAAGTTACTTTCTCACTAGCAGCGTACGGGCATCGATATGTGCACGCAATTATGCCTTGCCAAGTTGATTAGGGATTTTCTTATCGGTGATTTTTTTTTATCGGCGAATCGATAAGCCCAACGCCTTGGTCAAGGCTAGCGTTTGACTAGAGACGTTCGCACGTTGCTATCAGTGCGCAGGCGTAAGGTACGTCACAAATCAACCACTAGTCGACTAATGGTCCTTGCCCGAACTTGGCCTAAGTGCATGGTCGGCTGCGGTCTTTATTGGCTCATCTTACATTGGAAATTTTGTTGTACAGTGTCTGTTGACGCTGATCAAGTTTCAAAGTTGGTTGATCGTTATGTGTGGATTGGTGTAATAGTGTAAATACAAATGGCGAAGTGTTGGTTTGACCACTGGGAAAAGAACCGGTACGTCGGTTTACTGGCAATCCTATGTGCCTGGACAAGTGGTTTTGTTTGGAACGCTGCAATGAAGGGTCTAGCTGTGCTGTTACCAACCCTACAGGGCCAGGCGGATACGTATACCTGGGTTATCGGCTGGATGATTGTCATCATGGAAGTTACTGCTGATCTTACAGGTATAATATGTCTCAGTGTTTTTTTTTATATTGTACAAATACGGTTTTCCTTCCCTTTTTTATTTCGTTTATCATTTACTATGTTGATTTTTTTCAACGTGCATTGTGGTTTTCTTTTTACGTTTGTGCGTATGTGAACAACAGGCAGAAATTGATGTGGCAGGTTTTGATGAAGGAAATAAAGTAGAAGTAGAATAAAAATCTGCTTGGCATAGATTTCTGGCAGTTTTCTAAAAGGAACATTTCACTAAAAATTCCAGCAAAAATGATCGTCAAAATCTTAATCTAGTCCATAAATACTCACCGTAAATACATTTTTTTTTTAATGTTGTAATTTACAGGTCCAATTGCATCTCCTCTTGAAAGACGCTTTGGCATCCGGGCATGTCTCATGGTGAGTGGGGTCATGATCACAGTGGCTTTCATCGTTAGTGCCGCGTCGTCTTCAGTTCTGGTTATGGCTGTTGTGCTGGCAGCGTTGGCAGGTTAGTGTCTTAGCTCTGGACCCTCTTGGAAACCCTGACCGCCTCACTGAGAACTAATTTTGAATTATGAAAAACCTTATTGATTTGAGCAAGGTTATAGTAGGCTTTAGTTACAAACAACCCTAGGCCTATGTGTAGTGTTTCCGTATCTTTTTGTTTCTTTCAGGACCTGGAATCGGACTGTCGCATGTTTTATCAAGAGAGCTAATTGGCCGTTGTTTCCAATCAGGGGGTACCTCTACAGCTTTCTCTATCTCCCAGACCGGGACCCCTGCTGCTTACATTGCAATTCCATGGCTGTCACAGTTGTTCTTGGATACCTACGGCTATCGAGGCACATTGCTACTCCTGGGTGCCATCTTCTTTCATTTGACAGCATGCGGTGCCCTGTTACGTTTCCCCTCTGACAACGATGCGACAGTCACAAAGGAGGGTAGAGACTATATTTCCTTAGTGAGTGGTGCTGAGGAAGGAACTCAAAGCAGTACGGACTCGAACGCGTCTAGACGAAGCAGTGACCAAGAAAATCGAGCTAAGACATCAGCTTTACGATCCTTTTGGCAAAATTTGCACACCGAGCTCTTCTACGATGTGACATACTGGCTTTTGGCGATCATTTACATCATAATTCAGTTTGTATATACTGCCTGGTTGGTATATTATGTTCCTCACACTCAGGCCAAGGGGTTTTCGCTGAGTGATGTCACTATCTTTACCGCCATCTCCGGGCTGACGAGGATACTCACAGGTCTCAGTCTCGGACCTCTGTTGGATAAGATCAAGATTATTGGCAATAAAGGCTTCATGGGAATCACTTTGATATTACTAGCTCTGTATTACCTCATCGACCCGTGGCTGACGTCCTTCTGGTCGACAGCTGTCAATCAAGGCGTGTATGGATTTGCCATTGGTTTGGCATGGCTGCTGGCAGATGTCTTGTTATGTGAAGCCATCGCTGTGGATCGGTTGGGTAGCGCCTTTGGTTGGATCTCAATGAAGTCTGGCATTCTGCGTTTTTCGCTGCTGTATCTGCCAGGTGAGTTCCGTTGTGATCTTTTCCGTTATTTGAAAGTTTAACTCTTTGTAACTTACTTTAAAATTGTTTTGGTCCCTGATCAAATTTGATAACATAATTTACATAGTCATCATTTACACAGTCATCATCGTGGGGTGCTGTGGTCCAGTGGTTTAACGGTGTTTGACTCGTGTGCCGTGGTACATTGGCTTCGAATCCTGACCGTGGGAACATGGTGCTTGTGCTCTTGAGCAAGGCACTTTAATATTATTGCTTCGTCCTTCGGATGGGACGTGGGTCCCGTGTGTTGTGTAATGCACGTTAAAGAACACAGTAACACTTATTGCTAAGAGAAGGGGTTTGCCCCGGTGTTTCTGGCAGTGGCTGTAATATGCGCCGCAGCACCTTGTAAACTTATAAGGTGCTACATAATGGGTCTCATATTTCTCATAAACTTCGTTTTACCTGTCTTTAATAATAGACATAATTCCAGCGCCTTGAGGACCTAATTGTTGGTAGATACGTGCGCTATATAAGACTCCGTTATTATTATTATTATTATCATTTGTATAGGGCCTACACTCTTAAAAATCGGTCGAATCAGATCCGACTTTTCACTAAAACAACACTTTTTGGGGTCAAAGTAATAGTTTTGCCAAGATTTTCTGGTCAGAATGACCCGAAAATATCTTTACTTTAGTGGGTAGTATTTCTGAAAACTTGGCCCCTCAGTCTTTTCGTTGGTAAAACGATATAGAGCTGGCACTTTCGTCTCTCGAAAAAAAAAAATGTCACCATGGGGAAAGCTGCCCCTGGCGCCCCCATACGTCATATTAGTATTCAAATTGATTTGTTTCAATTTTTTCCATGATGCAGGTTTGATCTACGACCTAACAAGGAGCTACACCTTGACTTTCATGCTATTGGGAGGCGCTCACCTCATTGGTTTCGCTGTTTTGCTTCTTCTTGTTTGGTTGCAACGAAGAAAACAATAAACCAAGTCGTGTCGAGAAATGTTCTGATGAGGGCAGAAACATACCAGGCATGCAGCTTGAACTGTCTGTTTATAATTTTGCAAAGCGCACATTGCTGGCCAGCGAATCGCATTTTAAATTTAGTTCAAGAGAGTTGGAAGACTCATTTAAACTCAGTTAAGTACGTTTAAAACTCTCCTGTATTCATTTTACACGTCGAAAGCACATTGCACTATTTAGGGGAGTCAGGTTGGCGTAGCGGTACTTTCCTTGCCTTCCATCGATGTGATACAAGCTATGCTTTTAAGGTTTTGCCACCTCTAGTGGCCTTTAGGCCTATACATGTATTTTGTTTCAATACTAATATCATTTTTTTCATTTCTGTCATGAAGAGCAAATAATTGTGATTTGATTTGCTTTGACCCGGGTTCGAATCCCGCCTGGGCCAATATGTGGATTGTGTTTTCAGTCCCTACTTGATTCCGTGGGTTTTCCCCAGCATATTCTTCTGGGATTTTTCTCCCACCTCTAAAACTGTAACTTCTTCTCGTTGTCTTCTCTCCACAGGTTTCTTCAGGCTTGCGAGCTATAGTGCCCAGGGCGCTTTTGAAGAATCCTTGGTTTCATTACCATAAATTAATAATAATAATACCAATAAATTTGTAATGTAGCACAGTAGTGTATACGGGATTCGAGATTGTATAAATTAGTAAAATGTCCACAATTTTGTGTAGTTTGTTTTATTATCACAGCATTGATAATGAATAATCTAACAAGACAATGAATTATGAGCAAGACCCACAAGAAGTTGGTCTAAAACCGTGCCCTGGGAAACTTTTACATGTATAAAGAACTTGGTGATTGCGACAAATCCTTCTTTATTCTTAATAGCTTGTTTCTTTGATCATCTTTTGGTATTACATGTATCTATGAACAAAGACATTGTATGAAAAGAATAACGTTTATAAGGAAGATTAAAGGTTAAAGAAATAGGCCTAAATTATTATCTTATATATTTACAAAAACAAAGTTTTCTTGTGTTAAAACAATATGTAAACGAATACCAAGGTGCATATATTCCTTTTTATTTTCTCTGAAAGCTCTACATTATACACTGTTAAACACTCGTACTGACTTTCTATTAACAGTATATTTCTTCCGTCAATCGGCATTATATTCTATGGTTTGTTTCTCTGTAGCCTTTGTACTATTTCTTTCTTTTAATAGTGTATATTATTGTGTTTGTTGACTAGTTTGTTCAACTTTACAGTAATGATAATTTTAGTTATAGTTTGTCACTCGAAGTAGAATGAAATGGGTGTGTCCTGCATTGCCCGGGACCTGAGAACTTGGTGTTCAACCCCAAAAAGTTAAATTGTGTTAAAGAATATGCAATACATAATGTTCACAAAATGATACAAATATTGTATATGCAATTAGAGGCAGCAGTAAAGCCTTGGCCAAATACAGTGACAAAAACTGTTCTAAAGCGGGTTGTCTGCTAACGTCCTTTGGCCCGTTCTGTGATTGGTTGTTTGATCCCCACATTGCCAAGCTTTTTCCTTTTTTCTTGCATGAAGGAAGACGTAGATGGAAAGAGAGTAGGTCAGAAGACTAGCAGACAGCAAACCAATCTTGACCTGAAAATCACCAAAACAAAAGCAATAAAACAATAAGAATCACAAACAACCTGTCCTTTCAAAAGGCGGCAAACTTGTTTTAAATTAAAGTACGACGCTTCGTAGCGTGCGTTTAGGCATACTAATAGCCGGTTGAATGCAATGCTTTCACGCTGTATTATTGCTACGTTGGGGGATCGTTTACACTGTGGCTAAATTCCTAGTCGATAGCGCAATGCAACATCTTATATAGATTGTATTCATCAGCCATTGGGACGTGTATTTTGATATATTAATTAATAAACACTACCGGGCGCTGTGCGTATCCATGTGGAACAAAAGCACACATCTCCCAGATGGCCGCAGTACAACTATACCTTAACTACCGCTTCCGACATCCATCAGAAAAGGGCATATTGAAATGCGTTTGCTTTTGACGTAATGTGATTAAATTTAAAAAAAATTAAGAATTACAAAAGTCAATTGTTTGAGTTTTATATTTCAGGTCTTTCCAGTCAGTGAGCAGTTTGTGGCAGTTTTTATTTCCGCCACCTTGCCATGAACGGAACCCAGCGAAACAGACCTCCCCCCACCAATCCAATCGTTTTACTGTGTGAACTTGACTGTTTCACTTGGGAAATGGGAACTAACTTATTACCCAGAAGTCATTGTCGTTCAAGAGTCTCTGTGTGATGATGAAGAGCGGATACTGCAGAAGGCTGAAAACTGCCGACAGCAAGATCAGCAGACCGTAGAGTGTGCCAAAATACTCCATGGGAAAACTAGACACAATCAGAAAGTAATTAACGAGAAAAAAAAAAGTGATTGCACAATGAACTCGGTAGGGAAAACCCCCTCTACGACCAAACCAAAAATAGAGTTGAAGGACACTGGAATGCCATTGTCGCCGTGTACTCACGCGCGCTCTTCTGCGAAGACGCTACGGGTTATGTCCACATTCAGGTAAAAATCGGTCGTGCGTACTTTGTTTCAAAAGCGCGCCAACCATGTACAAGTGCGCAAACGTAAACGCGCCGTGTCCTTTACTGCTTTCATGAGGAGGCAGCACAGCGCCACCTACTGTCCCTGAATGGAGTCGAAAGCTTACTACAGACTGTTTAATGACCATCGTAAAAATACTGTAGAACTGATTGAACGATGGGCTAACAATAAACAAGCTAACACAAACTGCGTCGATAGTTTAAAACAAAAATCTTACAACAGTGAAGTTCCTGAGGCTGTCAGGCTGTACACAAACGATCTGCTCATTACAGAAAGCACGAAGGTGGCATACTGGGCCTCCAGTATGGGTAATATACCACACACGCCGAAGATAAGACAAATGGTGGTACAGGTGGCGTAGGCCAGGGCGGCGTCCTTCTGATCGCTGTATGGGCCACGCCCTTCGAGTCTCTCTATGGAGAACAAAAAGTCACGTGTAACATTTGAGCGCCAATTGGAATGCTGACAAAGAAAAGGCAAGGCTACCGGGCCTAAGTCACAGGCAGAGCGAAAGAATGTCTGCTTCCAAAGATAACTTGGTTTGGCGTCAGGGTACCAAACCGGTTTCAGGCTCAAGCCCAAAGCCGAGACCGGATCGACGCCAAGGTTTGATAAACGCTATTTGGATGCCAACGTTCACTTTTCGGAAAACTTGACACGTGACCCCTCTGGACCAATGAAGCTTACCTTCTTCCTTGTCTTTATTTAAGCAGCGGTGTCTGCGTTTATTCCTGCTGACAATCAGCCCACTAAATGGAGCACACAGGATTCCTCCTAGCTGAATGAAGGCAAGTGCGTTGGTGTAGGAACTCACTGAAACCCAGGAGGGAAAAAACATTCAATATGTTGTAGTAAAACTAAAAATAACCAATCATCATCCAAAATTAGTATTAGTTTGGTTCGTTTGGAATAATGTTCACCATTTTCTCCGACTTTATGTATTACGTTTTGGTGTCATGACACAATACGGATGGGACTAGACACCATCTTACACTAGGACTGGAGGCGCTTTTCATGATGGCCATTCTGTATTTTGTCGGCCAACAAAAATATGACGCACTTGGTGGTTGTTGCACCCCGGTCCGTACCGTCACCTCCTCTAGCGACGCTTGTGCGCACCGCGGCGACCACACCGGATGAACTCGAAGATGATTTATGTGTTTGTAGGCCATGCGAATTGGGACTTGACTTACCGAGCTGTTCGTCATTGTCAGCAAGTTTGGTCAGCACCGGGTTCAGCGTACTGACAAAAAACAATACGTCCAGTTGCAGAATGGAAAACCACAAGTAGAAAAGGCCGAAGAGGGGCGACATGACGCACGCCCTCAACGATGGGAAATCCTTCGACAGTGGGTTGCTAGGCGACGCGAGAGTAGAGTTGCCATCTTGGTCAGCGGACTCACCGCTGACTCCATTCGGTAATCCATTGCCACACGCACCATTGTAGTATTCTGAGACTTCTTTAAATGAAACGGAAATTGAGTACATTATTAGTCAATGAGCAAACTGCGAAAATGAGCTACATTGTTCAAAACCTGAAAAGCCTTTTTGTCCCATTATCTTTTTTGGTACAAAATACATATATAAATAAAACTGTTTTATACCAACCATTATTCTCAACTTTCTTGGCTTCTCTGGGGTCAGGTTCTTCAAGTGCTTCATCGTCCTCCCTTTTAGGGTGATGTTTTCCCTCTGTGTCCTTGATGGCGTTGCTGTACGCGTGCAGCGTCTCATCCTCATGAATATTCAACGTTTTTCCCGACCGCTGATTGGTGTAGTAATCCGGTGGGAGTGGCCATGGAATGTGCCCCTTCTTCGGCAGCAAGACGAATGTGTTCAGAGTGAAGACAAACGTGCTGCCCGCCAGAATGAAGAAAGAGGTTTGAACTTGGAAGCCGAAATTTTCGTAGAGGACCTGCGGAATTCAGGATAGGAGAAGGGAAATGAAATTAAAGATTGTTACTTCGGTAACCACCATACGTACCGAGGTGGTTCAACGCGCATTTCCGCCGGTTGTAACTTTCTATGACACGGTCGAAAATGTGTCGTACAACCTACACGCAAGCGAGCGTGATAACACCCGTTAACAAAATATTGTGGGGTACCCAGCCTGTTTTCAAACTTCTCGTTGAGACAAAGTCCTAATTGAGAACATAGACTATAGTCTCGGTCAAAGGAAGACACAAGTTCAAGCATTTCCCTTGCCTGATGCACGGCGGTTCATATCCGCCGAAAGAGGGCGCTCGCATGGGTTGCTTTGGTAGCACCCTTTACTGGCGGCTTTGAATTTTACAGGGTGCATTGGAGAAATAAAAATCCCGTCTTGAACTAAGACTATAATTTGATTTATTATTAGCCCACGTATGACACTGCGCTTTTGTAGTTGCTGAGGCTGTTTAGAATCGTGTTGCATGCATGATGAGTTCCATGATCCAACGGCCGAATTCAGACACAATATGAAATTTATCAAGTTGTCAAGTTGACGACCCGTCCTCGCCCTTGTACAGTGTGTATGGAATCACTCCAAATTCATACTCGCGCTCTGTTGCCAAAATATCAATGTGTGTTATCATGACTGACAGGTTTGTAAAGGTGTTAAGCAAACACACCCAACGGGTGCGATCAAGTGAAGCGTGAGTGTAGGTACGTGCAGAACACTAGTTATGCTGGCTGGTAAACAAGGACGCAAAAGGTGTCGCCAGCACGTCAAGTACATCATTTTAATACAGTAACAACCAATGTCTTTATTCTAG